TAAAGTCATACCTTTATTTAAATCTGGTAGTACGTTAGACCCCGCCAATTTTAGGCCAATTTCTGTACTACCAACATTAAGTAAAATTTTTGAAAAAAAATTTACATCAGATATTAAGTTTCTTTAATATTAATAAATTGTTACATAGAAATCAATTCGGTTTTACAAGAGGTCGCTCGACAACTGACGCTGGAGTTGAGCTTATTACACATATTTGTTGTGCATGGGAGAATTCAGAGGATGCTTTGGGTATATTTTGTGACCTTTCCAAGGCCTTCGACTGCGTTCAACATGAGAAATTAACCAGGAAGCTACAGTACTATGGTGTCAAGAACACAGCGCTTAAACTTATATTTCATATTTAAATAATAGAATGCAGAAAGTTATTGTCAATGGTAAAAGTTCTTCCGGCTCACCTATACTAATGGGTGTCCCTCAGGGCTCGATTCTCGGCCCATTTCTATTTCTAGTATATATTAATGACTTACCTTCTCCTGTAGAGGATAATCATGATATAGTATTATTTGCTGATGATACTTCCTTGATTTGTAAACTTAAACGTCAATCATTTAAATGTGACGAAGTGAATAATGCTATATCAAAATTAGTGCATTGGTTTAACGTTAATAATCTACATTTAAACGGAAATAGAACTAAATGTATTAAATTAACAACAACGAATTTTAAAAATCTTAGTACCACTGTGTTTTTAAATGGGGAAGAACTCAGCCCTGTTGAATCCACTGTTTTTCTTGGCATCCCTCTCGACGCAAAGCTTCAGTGGGGCCCCCATATATCCAAACTAGCAAGCAGACTAAGTTCTGCAGCCTATGCTTAAAAGATTAGAGCTAACATATTTCCCTAGCATAATGTCTTATGGGATTTTGCTATGGGGAAATGCGGCTGTTTCAGAAGCTATTTTTGCTTTACAGAAGAGGGCCATTAGAGCTATTTACAACCTAAAACCGAGGGAGTCTCTTAGAGATAAATTTAAAGAAATAAATATATTAACTTTGGTCTTTCAGTATATTTACGAAAATTTAATGTATGTTCACAAAAACAAAGGTAGTTTTAGTAAAAAACATGATGTGCATTCTGTAAACACTAGGAACAAACACAAGCTAGTGATACCAGTTTCTCGACTCCACAGAGTCAGTAATTCATTCTTGGGGCAATGTATACAAGGTCGCGGAAAGTGTACAGACTCTCTCTATTAGCAAGTTTAAATGTTTTGTTAAGTTGAAACTGTATAAAAAGGGTTATTATAGTATAAATGAATACATGGTTGATAATAACCCCTGGGAATGAGGTGATCGCTTCCAAGCTATTTCTAAAATAAATTTTGTACTTACATAGTTTGTACAACCATTATTGTAAAATTTGCTTTAAAAAAAAGTCCCGCTGGGTTTCTTGCTGGTTCTTCCCAGGACAGAGGTTTTTTTTCGAACCAGTGGTAAAGTAAAAAATGACTTTCAATAAAAATTACACATGTGATCTATACTGAATAAAAAATTATTCTATTCTATTCTATTCGAAATTAAAGAGTTCAGAAATAAAGATGTAACTAATCATTGTCATAAAAGTACTCAATTAATTTTAATTTATTTTAGCTATAATAATTGAACTAACCTCGCTCATAGAAGCTTTCAATACTGACTTCTTGCAGTTCTCAACCGGCGGCTAGGGTTTATGCACTGTTCGCGCGCCCAGCCAAGTATTGAATTATTTTAATTTTACATTATCTCTTAAACTATGCGTCCAAATTACAAAGAGTATAAAGAACAAAGTTTATCTTCATAAAATTGTCTTGATGATGAAGTAACTTTTGTTCGTAAGGATAAATAGGCCATGCCTAATAATAACGCTTATAAACAACTTTTTAATTTTCAATATTTTTTTGTCACAAAATACCTAATTATGGCTTATGTATAAGAAATAGACATATGGTTTACTATTTTTAAAAGGAGTAAAGATCTATATTTTTCTAGAACATTGTATTTACGTATCCCTAACCATAACACCAGCGTACGCGGATAAATCATTTCGGGAGCGCTTTTTCTTCTGACTTGCTTAACAAATATCCATATTTAAGGCTAACTGAGTGATATAGTTTTTTTTTATAGGATAGGATGACAAACGAGCACACAGTCCACCTGATGGTAAGTGGTTGCTGTGGTCCATAGACATCTACATTTATCCTCGTTTACGAATCAAAATGCAGATGCGTTGTCACCCGTGAGGGCTAAGATGGAATGCCTCTTTTCCAGTAAAATGGGTCTCCGGTTCTCTACACTCACCATACGAAACACAGCAGTGTTAAGCTGCTATTTGATGCTGGTATTCTGTGAGAGCGTGGTCCTTCCTCGGTCGAGCCGACCCATTCGTGCTACAACTATACTACTAATATAGTTGCAGCATGGCTCTACCACGTAAGCCACGCTAACGCTAGATAGGCTATACTATTCCATATGAAGCTGTCTATAAAATACAAAAAAATTTTTTCAAATCGGACTGGTAGTTCCAGAGATTAGCGTGTTTAAACAAACAAAAAAACAAACAAACTCTTCCGCTTTATTATATTATAAGTATAGATTATTCCTTTACAATAAAAACAGTGCTAGAACGACTTTCATTGGGTTTGTTTCGGACATTAACTTTCCCTTACATCTCGTTTTGCACTCATCTTATAAACTGTAGACACACTATAACTACCGCAATTTGCAATTATCACCATGTCACTCTTTTCGCATATTCTTTGGTGAGCTCCAGTTCGGTGTCCACTCACGACAACGACATCAAAAAATATAAGATAAAACAATTTGTGTTCTTAATGTATAAGTTGCTTTTAAAATATTTTGAGACACAAAAACCAAAAATTGCATTTAAAGTTTTGCAGTATTGTTGCAGACTAGTCGAAACATTTTTAAATAATCGATTGTATAACTATGATACTTCACTAATTAATATTCTATCTTTTAGTGTCGACTGTGTGAAATGATATGGACTATCTATTTTTGTTTTACCTACATGAGCAAGACTAAATAAACGCTAAAAACCTTATGGTTTAATATAAAATTACCTTGGTTTCTATTTCTTTTAATATTAATTTGAAAATCTTCATACTAGAGGCAAAACGCGAGTCAGGTCAAGAAACTTTTCTGTGAAAACATACTTGATTTTTAATATTGTGAATTTAACTAAATATCCATGTAGTAAATCAAATAAAATAAGTAAATCAATTTAACTACGTATTCAATTTGTAACATAAAGCATACAACATCCTTTTAGCACGTGTTTCAGCGTTTGATTGTAGCGCTAAACACCACTCATAAACAAAACTAAATCTAGTTCTTAATACGAAGATGTCGAATTCGCGCACTCAAGTGCACGCCTGCGCGCACTACTCATTACCTCTCGGTATTCGCGAAGCGGGGAAAGCGCAGAAAGGATTGTTTGATATGAATTGGTTAATTGTAGTTTATTTTGATTTCTAAATGTAATAATTGGTGATTTTGCGCCCCCTTTTGAAAGGCGCTCGAGACATGTGCCTCATTTGCCCCACCCAAGCTACGCCTCTGTCTTCGGTTGTTGGTATTTCGACCTATATAGACTCATTGCTACTTTCAACTTATTGATCCGTTGGGCCATTCCGGTAAATCTGGTTCTACTTTCTGCGGGTATGCTTATTACATAGTATAGCATGCAGAGAAACTGCCCTTTCCATAGCTCACTTAAGTTTCTTTATACGGCCATCAGTGAAGGACAATGTCTCAGATTTATATGTCATCACAGGTACCGTGATTTTGTACGTGGTAGAGCCATGCTGCAGCTATATTATGGTTGTAGCACGAATGGGTCGGCTCGACCGGGGAAGGACCACGCTCTCACAGAAAACCAGCGTAAAATAGCAGCTTAACGCTGCTGTGTTTCGTATGGTGAGTGTAGAGAACCGGAGACCCTTTTTACTGGCAAAGAGGCATTCCATCTTAGTCCTCACGGGTGACAACGCATCTGCATCTTGAGTCTTTATTGAGGATAGATGTAGATGTCTATGGGTCACAGTAACCACTTACCATCAGGTGGACTGTGTGCTCGTTTGTCACCCGATCCTATAAAAAAAAAAAAATATGTCATCACAGGCACCGTGATTTAAAATAATTTAAGACAAAATATGATATATACGTAAAAAAAGATTAATTTTATCTTTGTAATCTATGGACGATATTAGCCGAATGAAGTGAAGGATAATGTCTCAGATTTATATGTCATCACAGGTACCGTGATTTAAAATAATTTAAGATAAAGTATGATATATACGTAAATAAAGATTAATTTTATCTTTGTAATATATGGACGATATTAGCCGAATAAATTTTGTTATTTATAAAATATAATTTTTTTTTGTATATATATACCTGATTAAGAATGTCTTGCCACTATAAAATAAAACCAATAGTTTTCAATTATTTAAGGTTATTAACATGTTTAGATAATATGTACATTACATATAATTATCCTAATTTTACTTTGCGTAATTACATATATGCAAACTTTTACTTGGACCGTTTAGTGGCAGTGTAAGAATATCCACTACCCCATATCATCCCGTGGGAGTCGTAAAAGGCGATAGAGGGAAATCAGCCAAATGGTAGGGAACAGCATCTTCCTAATAAAAACTTAAAAATAAAAAATAAAGTGCAGTTGGTGCAAACCACCTGTCAAGCGTTGCAACTATCGCAAATATCTAAACGCGACATTATTTGATTCATATTGGACGAGATCGATAGCAATGTTATTCATTGCAGTAGCATACTACGAGTGGGTAAGAGTCTAATTTAATTTACGGCGTAAAAGATTTGGAAACATATGTGAATCCGTGAGTCTGTACCATCATGAACTGGCCCCTTCGTAATACTACTTAACTTATTAACTTATCTTCGTAAAAGTTATTTAGCTGTTGATTTAATAATATAAAAGTTTGTATGGTTTTTATTTTTTAGGTTGTCAACGTAATAGATCCAAAACCAGGTGTTCATAGTGTTGAAGTAGGAAGTTTAAGTGATACAGCAGTGACGGTGCTTGGTACCACTAATGTTGATTTTCAATATGGATTCTCCATCAACAAGCCCTCTTCTAGAAACGATACAAAAATTCCACCTATTGCAGGTAAATTATTTTTCCAGTTCTAAAAAATATCCATAACCGTCTTTTGTACAAATTCGTAATTGCACTGAAGTACTATTTATCGTGCCATCTGGAACTGAATTTGATACTACAGGAATATGAAAACGTGAACTGATAAAATTTCTATTTGCTGATAACCAATATTGGTGTAGAAGCCGTGTAGTGGCGGTCAAGAATACCACTACCCCATATCCTCCCGTGGGTGTCGTAAAAGGCGACAAAGGGAAACAGGCAGGAGATGGGCAGCAGCATCTTCCTGATAGTAGCCAAAATTACAATAAAAAAACTGCGGTTGCCAACCCGCTCGCCAAGCGTGGCAACTATGGCAAATACCCCCCAATGAATGTAACAAAGAGACGGCCCCCAGTCCCCGGCGGCCCCGCTATTCCTGGCTACGGTGGCGACCATGGTAACGGCGGGGCAGGGGGTGCTAAGAATCTCCGGTGGAGGTTCGGTTGCCACCTTAGACGACTCGACCTGGCAACGTACAACGCACGCACCCTGAGCACTGACGAGAAGATCGTGGAGCTGGAAGAAGAGATAGACAAGTTACGCTGGCATATTATAGGATTATCCGAAGTCCGAAGAGAGGGGGAGGACACGGTAATCCTCGAATCCGGCAACTTGCTCTATCACCGGGAGGGCGACCATCTGTCCCAAGGAGGTGTCGGATTTATCGTCCACAAGTCTCTCGTTAACAACGTTGTAAAGATCGGGAGTGTGTCGACGAGGGTTGCGTACCTTATACTCAGAATCACCATACGGTATTCGCTGAAGGTCATACAGGTTTACGCACCAACCTCGGCACACCCCGATGGGGAGGTGGAGGAAATGTATGAGGATATCTCTAGAGCCATGCATTCCTCCAAAACCCAATATACGGTGTTAATGGGAGACTTCAATGCAAAACTAGGCACAAGAGAGAACGGTGAGCTGAAAGTAGGGAAATTTGGAATAGGGCAACGGAACCCAAGGGGCCAGCAGCTGGCCGACTTCATGGAGAAAAAGGGACTCTTTATGATGAACTCTTTCTTCCAGAAGCGGCCCCACAGTAAGTGGACCTGGTCGAGCCCCGACGGTTCGACAAAAAATGAGATTGACTTCATTATGACGACCAGACGACAACTGTTCAGTGATGTCTCCGTGATCGCGAGGGTGAAAACTGGTAGCGATCACTGAATGGTTAGAGGCACACTGAACCTAAACGTTAAGTTGGAGAGGTCTGGTCTAATGAAGTCAACGCTCCGTCCCCCTCGTGCTCTGTTCCAAAGTCCCGAAACCTTTCAGCTCGAGTTACAAAACCGTTTTCAGTGCCTAGAAGACTGCAATGAAGTGGACGATATGAATGACAAGCTCGTGGAAACTGTCCATGCGGTCGGAGCTAAGTTCTGCAAGACCCGCCGCAGAAGAACACAAAAACTCTCCGATCACACTCTTAATCTCATGGCTGTTAGACGGGAGATGAAGCTACATTCTTCAACAGACTTGACAGCATACAGGCATCTGAACAGACAGATCTCCAAATGCATGCGGCGGGACTTACGCAACTTCAATACAGCTCGTATTGAAGAAGCGATCGAGCGGAACCAAGGCTCCAAAGTCTTTGCCAGAGATCTGTCTGCCAGAAAGAGCCAACTGTCAAAGCTGAAGACAGGATGTGGCAGCATCGTTTCCGGGACACCTGAGATTTTGAGTGAGATTGAGAGGTTCTATGGGCAGCTGTACACGTCATCGTTGGAGCCACACGCAAGTGTGAGTAACGATCCAAGAGCGAGTCTCATCCGACACTATTCCGAAGATATCCCGGACGTCAGTCTGAGCGAGATTAGAATGGCTCTCCAGCACCTTAAAAACGGTAAGGCCCCAGGCGAGGATGGAATTACAGCGGAGCTTCTGAAAGCGGGTGGAAGACCGGTACTTGAAGTCCTTCAGAAGCTCTTTAATTCCGTCCTCCATGGTGGCATTACACCGGAGGCGTGGAGCAGAAGTGCGGTGGTCTTGTTCTTCAAGAAAGGTGACAACGCTCTCTTGAAGAACTACAGACCGATTTCCCTTCTGAGCCGCGTCTACGTGCTGTTTTAGAGAGTCATTACGAATCGTCTCGCACGCAGACTTGACGACTTCCAGCCCCCCGAACAAGCCGGTTTCCGAAAAGGCTTTAGCACCATAGACCACATACATACCCTTCGGTAAATTGTACAGAAGTCCGAAGAGTACAATTTGCCACTATGTCTGGCGTATGTGGACTATGAGAAAGCCTTTGATTCCGTCGAAATTTGGGCGGTGCTGCAGTCCCTTCAGCGGTGCCAAGTTGACTGTCGGTATATCGAAGTGTTGAAGTGCTTTTACAGTAGGGCTACGATGGCTATCCGAGTACAGAACCAGAGTACGAAACCTATCCAATTGCAGAGAGGTGTAAGACAGGGTGACGTCATATCCCCGAAACTCTTCACCGCTGCATTGGAAGACGTTTTCAAGCTTCTGGACTGGAAAGGATACGGTATCAACATCAATGGCGAGTACATCACTCACCTTCGATTTGCCGAATGTGCCGTCCTTATGGCAGAATCGCTGGAGGACCTAAGCACTATGCTCAATGACCTCGATAGTGTTTCCCAACGGATAGGTCTTAAGATGAACATGGACAAAACAAAGATCGTGTTCAATGTCCATGTCACACCTATGCCGGTAGTTGTTGGGAGCACTAAGCTCGAAGTTGTTGACGAGTATGTTTACCTGGGACAAATAGTCCGACTAGGTAAGTCCAACTTCGACCGAGAGGTCAATCGACGGATTCAACTCGGCTGGGCAGCGTTCGGGAAGCTATGACACATCTTCTCGTCAGACATACCTCAAAACCTGAAAACGAAATTGTACAACCAGTTCGTGTTGCCAGTGATGACTTATGGAACTGAGACGTGGTCCTTCACTGCTGGCCGTATGAGGAAGCTCAAGGTCGCTCAGCGAGCTATGGAGAGGGCTATGCTCAAAGTTTCTCTGCGTGATAAACTTAGGAATGAGGATATCCGCAGTAGAACCAGAGTAACCGACATAGCCCAACGGATTAGTAAGCTGAAGTGGCAGTGGGCCGTCCATATAGCTCGAAGAACCGACAACCGATGGGGAAGAAAGGTTCTCGAGTGGCAGCCTCGTACCGGTAGGCGAAGTGTAGGGCGTCCCCCCACGAGATGGAGTGACGACCTGGTAAGACATGCAGGAAGTCGATGGATGCAGGTGGCTCAGGACCGTGCTTTGTGGCATTCTTTGGAGGAGGCCTATGTTCAGCAGTGGACTTCTGAAGGGCTGTAATGATGATGATGATGAATATTGGTGTTGTAACAAAGTTTAGGTTTATCAAATTTTATACAGTTTCATTTATAATAATGTAATATATAAACATTAGAGTAAAAACACCTTTTTCAGACCGCCGAGGCGGGTCGCTAGATAATTAATATAATTTAATCCAATTTCCAAGCATACCACCGCCTTCAAAATACAATAAACTCATACTGCATAGATCGGACCAAAAATTATTATTCAAAAACTAAGGGAAGACCGGGTTAAATATGATATCAGTACGTCAAACATCTCAGTCCCCCGTGATCATGGGTGCTATAAAACACAAGAAACGTCGGGTATAAAAAAAATTAAAATAAAAAAAACGAACCTGAGCCGACGCATCAACTTCCCGGGATGTAAATACCAGCGCTCTTAAAAGGAAGTATAATTCCGCCTCCAGGTCCTTCAAAAGTGTCATTGCCAAGGCTAAGTCAGAGCACATCAGCAGAATTGGCGAGAAACTAGTTCGCCTCCCTTCGGGAACACGTGCATTCTGGTCTCTCGCCAAGGCTGTCCAAGGAAACTTCTGTCAGCCATCTCTGCCATCTTTGCACAGGGCGGACGACTCACTGGCCCATGACGCAAAAGAGAAAGCCGATCTGCTAGGCTCTCTTTTTGCTTCCAACTCGACTCTAGGTGACGGGGGGATCACACCGCCGACCATCCCGCGGTGTGAGTGTTCCATGCAGGAAGTGCTGTTTACACACCGCTCGGTGCGTTTACACACTCCTCTCCCTGGACGTCAACAAGTCGAGTGGGCTTGATGGAATCCCACCTATTGTGCTGAAGAAGTGTGCTGCGGAGTTGGCACCGGTTTTAACGCGTCTTTTCCGCACTCCTACTCCATTGGCGTAGTCCCGAACTCATGGAAGACAGCTTTGGTGCACCCGATCCCTAAAAAAGGCGACCGCTCAGATCCGTCCAACTACAGGCCTATTGCTATCACCTCCTTGTTCTCCAAAGTAATGGAAACCATTATTAAGAGCCAGCTCACCAGCTGATTAGACCTCCAGTACGGTTTCCGTCGAGGTCGCTCAGCTGGTGATCTTTTAGGTTACCTAACTCATAGATGGGCGGAGGCCGTGGAGTCCAAGGGGGAGGCGTTGGCCGTTAGTTTGGACATAGCGAAACACAAAGCGCTTCTTTCGAAGCTCCCTTCCTATGGGCTTCCCGAGAAATTATGCAATTGGATCACCAGTTTTCTTGCAGATCGGAGCATCAAGGTCGTAGTAGACGGTGCATGCTCCGATTACAAGTCCATTTACGCTGGTGTTCCACAAGGCTGCGTGCTATCACCAACGCTGTTTCTTCTGCATATCAATGATATGTTGCAAACCAGTAACATTCATTGCTATGCGAACGACAGCACTGGTGATGCTTTATACACCGGCGGTGCCAATGTTTCTCGGGAAAACGTCGCCGAGTACCGGAACAAACTTTTGTCTGAAGTCGAGACTTTGTTGAACAAAGTCTCAGACTGGGGTCGACTAAATCTTGTCCAATTCAATCCCCAGAAGACACAAGTTTGCGCGTTTACCGCTAAAAAGAATCCCTTTGTCGTATCTCCTCAGTTTCAAGGCATTCCCCTTGTTGCCTCAGCCAGTATCGGGATCCTTGGTGTCGACATATCGAGTGACATGCAGTTTCGTGGTCACTTGGAAGAGAAGGCCAAATTGGCCTCTAAAAAGCTTGGCGTGCTCAGCTGAGCGGGACAGTATTTCATGCCAGCACACCGCTTGTAACTTTACAAGGCGCAAGTTCGGCCTCACATGGAATACTGTTCCCATCTCTGGGCAGGGGCTCCCCAGTGCCAGCTCCTTCCACTTGACCGCATCCAGCGCAGAGCGGTTCGAATCGTCGACGACCGAGTTCTTTCCGATCGGATTGACTCATTGGCACTGCGTAGAGATGTTGTATCTCTTTGCGTATTTTATCGCTTCTATCACGGGGAGTGCTCTGAGGAATTGTTCGGACTAATTCCAGCCGCCCAATTTCACCATCGTACATCGCGACAAAACTCGCGATACCATCCACACCATCTGGATGATTGGCGGTCCACCACTGTGCGATTTAGAAGATGTTTTCTTCCTCGCACAACTTTCTTGTGGAATCAATTACCACCAGCGATTTTTCCGGATCGATACGACTTAGGGACCTTCAAGAAAAGAGCCTACTCCTTTTTAAAAGGCCGGCAACGCATCTGCGATGCCCCTGGTGTTGCAGTTGTTCATGGGAGGCGGTAGTCACTTACCACCAGGTGAGCCGCATGCTCGTTTGCCCCCTCTCCTCAGTTTTTGAATAAAAAAAAATTAACGCGATAAAGTCCGTAAATTTGGTTTTATTAAATGTGTATTACTCGTGTAAATATTTGAAATAATTATGTAAGATCCATTTTTGGATTTCAGGCCAAAAATATTATTTGTCTATTGAACTTAACACTGAAGGGGAAATGATAAAGCTGCAAGAAGTACAATTGTTAGATATTAAAAATAATATTATTTTAGAAGAACGTCTTTGGATAGTCAACACTGAAGAACAATTTTATGTCACAGAGCAAATTACTCCCCCAGAACAAATTTTTAAAATTAGGGTAAGTATATGTTGATGTAACAAATTACTTTGCATTAAATATTAAACTTAATTTAATTATTATATTTTTAACCATGATATATAGATTAAAGGAGTCAAAGAAGATACGAATGAAACCATATATAGAGTATATCGTTCACCTGTGGCACCGCAAATGCTTTCAGATGGTAAGAAATTTTTAATTTACTTTCATTTGTTATTGCCTAATTTCAATATATAAAATATCAACAATGATTTCGATTAAAAGTACATATTTTACGAGTTAACTGGAGTTAAATTTGGTTTTCACTGAAGCAAATAGTCATTAATTTTTTAAAATTACGCAACTAAAGAGGAAAGTATGACATTGCAACCTGCGTGGTATTGATAAGAACGCAGGTTGCGATGTCATACCTTCCTCCCGTAGTGCGTATACTATATTTTATCATACCTTGATCGAAATGAATGTACCTTAAAATCTATCATGGCATTTACTTTTGACGTTTAAAACAATAGTGCTAGAAATTTGACGCATGCGTACTTAATTAATAAGTCATTGAATCGGGACGCAATGACACTTTCGTCCCTGAAAGTAGGATCGAAATGCGAACTTTCGATCAAGATCAATATTATATGATTATTTGAGTTCCAAAGAGACGTGGAAGACTTTGTAATCTTCAAATCCGGCAACTTGTTCTATCAAGGGAAGGGCGACAATTTGTCCCAAAGAGGTGTCGTTACAACGTTGTAAAAATTGGAAGTGTGTTGACGAGGGTTGCATACCACATGATGCGCAACCTTCGTCGATGATATTATTTAGTGATTCTGAGCATAAGCTAAGTTCAGCTAAACTCCCTGTGAGACGGGAAACCAAGCTGCAGACTTCAGCACATATGACAGCAGTTGTCTGAAGCAACTGTACAGTCAGATCCCCAAAGGCATGCGGCGGGACTTACGAAACTTCAATACAACTTGTATTGAAAAAGTGATAGAGAGAACCAGGGCTCCAAAGTCTATGCCAAGGTTTGCCAGAGGCAGCCAACTGTTGAAGCTCAAGACCGAATATGGTAGCATCGTTTCCGGCACACCTGAGATTTTGAGTGAGATTAAGAGGTTCTACGGGCAGCTGTACACTACGTAACGATCCAAGAGCAAGTTTTACCCGTCACTATTCCGATGATATTCCGAACGTCAGTATGAGCAAGATTAAAATGGCTCTCTAGAACCTTAAAAATAGCAAAGCTCCGGTCAAGAATAGAATTACAACATGATTCTCAAAGCGGGTAGAAAACCAGTAGTTTTTTAGAGGATCTTTAATTCCGTCCTCATTGGTGACACTACTCCAGAGGCGTAGAGTAGAACCCACCGCACTTGAAGCACTGGTGTGAAGTAGAAGTGCGGTGGTCTTGTTCTTCAAGAATGATGACAAAGCTCTGTCGAAGAACATCCCTTCTACGCTGCGTCTACGTATTATTTTCGAGAATCATTACGTATCGTCTCGCATGCTCACTCGATGTCTTTCAGCCTCCCAAACAAGCCGGTTTCCAAAAAGGGCTTTAGTACCATAGATCACATATAATCAGCCTTGCGCATGTGGTTTATGAGAAAGCCTATGACGGTACTACATTACCTTCAGCGGCCGAGTTGACTGTCGGTACGTCAAAGTGCTAAAGAATATGTGTGGTTGAACCAGAGTACGAAACCTATCCAACTGCAGACAGGTATAATTGATATATAAGGTGACGTTAGATAGATAAGATGACGTTATATCCCCGAAACTCTAAACAGCTGCATTGGAAGATGTTTTCAACCTACTGGATTGGAAAGTATGTCGTATTAACATCAATGGCAAGTAAATGACTCATTTTCTGTTTGTCGACTATATAGTCTTTATGTCAGAATCACTGGAGGTCTGAAAAAAACCTAATATAAATAAATTAAGTTTAAGTAAAGGATGAAAATTCAGTAGCGGTGTAAGAATATCCACTACCACATGGAATGGGGTGACAGATGAAAACAAGCTATGAGATGGGCAGCAGTTTTTCTAATAATAGCTCAAACATAAATAAACTGCGGTTACCAATCAGCCCACCAAGCGGGGTAACTTTGGCAATAATCTCCCTTATGAGCAATTTATGGGGATGCCTATGTTAAGCCTTGGATTCTGAAAGGCTGTTATGACTATAAAAATTAAAAGGATAGAGTACCAGAAACATCGAAAAGGTCGGAAATTATGCATGTATCTCTAAACGAAAAGAGGACAACCTGCAGTTTACTCAGCATATAGTAGTAGTAAGTTGACAAAACATAACCCTGGTATAACAAATTTAATATCATATTATTTAGAACTTGATACATTTTTAGTAATTAAACCATATTTTCTGTTAACAGAACCTATAGAAAACAAGGCACCAATAGCAAATATCACGGGGGAAACAAAATTAATATCTAATTATGGTTATCCCTTGCAGTTAAAATGTATCGTGGCTGGATATCCAGAACCTAAAATTATATGGGAAGACAAATTAGGTTCATCGTTGAAATTTACGGTATTTAACTATAAGTACCATTTGATTTCAGGAAAATAAGAACTTGTTAAACATAATTATAATATTGTAAAATATTTTTAAGGTCTCACCAAAAAGACTTCCATATGAATACATTAGTGTATTATATATAAATCATATTATCACAAATAATACGTATTTTTGTAAAGCAAGCAACGACATTGGAAATTATGTAACATCTGTTGACGTTATAATAAAATCTTATTTTGAAATTGTGGATGTTTCTAAAGGTAATTTATGCTTTCACATATTGCTTAGTAATTATAATCATTAGGTGTAAGGGCGGCGTAAGACCCACTACCCCAAATCATCCTGTAGGTGTTTGTTATAAGAGTTGACAGAGGGAAACTGAAACTGTAATAATGATAAAATCAATAATAATCTAATATAATACGTAAAAGTTGTATTATACAATGATCAACAATAAACCAATATATTATAGCTATAGAAAAAATATACCTTTTCTTTAAATATAGTACGATGTATAATACGAAAAATCAGAAACCTAGCGTAATTAAAAAGTCAAATAAAAAGTCAAAAAATGTCAATTATAACTACTACTTTGAGTACGATATCATAAAGATGATTTTTTGACAGATAAAACTGTAAAATACAACGAGAAGGAAACATTAAATTGTAAAGTTAATGCAATCCCTCCTGCAAACATTACTTGGTTCCTAAATGGCAAGGAAATTGAGATGAATGATCAAATAAGTATATCATCTGATCGATCTTCATTGTTTATCAAGCAAATGAAGCCAAATTATGCTGGAAACTTTATTTGCGAGGTACGAAATAACTTAAAAAGAGGTATTTATAACATAAAAGTGTCAATTACAGATATTGGTAAGTATCATCTATAAATTCGGTAAAATAAGTAAAGTCTACAAACAACTTCACCTTTAGTTTTAATTTGCAGAATATCCAAAAATAGATAAAAGTGTTACTGAAATTTCTGTCGGTAAAGGATCCAGCGTTAGTATATTATGCAGGTAATTTTTTTTAATTCCTGGGACATTTAAGACATTTTTACCTAATCTTTTTATTTTTTCTCTGCACCGAATAATGCATAAAAATCTCTTTATAGAATTTTGAAAGGTAAACCTACACCAACGATTTACTGGTCTTTCAAACATGATAAAAATGATGTATTTGACAATATTGAGGAACATACTGAGAACTTATACATTGAGAATGTAAATTTAGGCATGGTTGGCACTTACAAATGTATAGCAAAAAATGAAATCGGCAAAGACAATCACGTCGTAGACTTGGTTGTTGAATGTAAGTATCAGTTAGTTTGGATTTCATTTGCTTTATAATCATCCAACCGCACAAACCACACAAACTATCGCACCAAGCCAAATTAAAAATATTACTTATGAAAATTATTTAAAATATCACTTAGCTGTTGCAATTTGATTTGCCATAAGACTCAAATTATATGCAGCAGATTTCAAAGTGAGTTAGACGCGGGTGCTGACGCGCGTGGCGTGAGCGTAGCGGGTGCGTGTCGTTGGAACGCGCCCTTAGGTGGAAGATGCGCGCGGATCCAAGCACACGTATATGTTTCTTTGAAATTCAAGATTACCGCTACATCAGTCGGGCTGGTCGCTACTACGTAATACCACGCGCGGGCTTGTTTCATGGAAATAAATGAGCGCCGCTGCGTGACACAGGCTACACGTGTCGTAAAAGTCGACTCGACTCTTGATGACGGGGGGAAAACACCGCCGACCATCCCGCGGTGTGAGTGCTCCATGCCGTATGTGCTGTTCTCACAGCGCTCGGTTCGCAAAGCACTGCTCTCCCTGGACATCCAGAAGTCGAGTGGGCCTGACGGAATCCCCCCAATTGTGCTGAGGACGTGTGCTCCGGAGTTGGCACCGGTCCTAACGCGTCTTTTCCGGTACTCCTACTCCCAAGGCGTAGTCCCGAATTCATGGAAGACAGCTTTTGTCCACCCGATCCCTAAAAAAGGCGACCGCTCAGACCCATTCAACTATAGGCCTATCGCGATCACCTCCTTGTTCTCCAAAATAATGGAATCCATTATTAACTGCCAGCTCATCCGGTACCTTGAGGATCACCAGCTGATTAGTGACCGCCAATACGGTTTTCGTCGGGGTCGATCAGCTGGTGATCTTCTGGTCTACCTGACCCATAGATGGGCGGAGGCAGTAGAGTCCAAGGGGGAGGCGTTGGCCGTTAGTCTGGACATTGCGAAGGCCTTCGATCGGGTTTGGCACAAAGCGCTTCTTTCGAAGCTCCCTTCCTATGGGCTTCCCGAGAAATTGTGCAATTGGATCACCAGCTTCCTTGCAGATCGGAGCATCAAGGTCGTTGTAGACGGTGCATGCTCTGACTACAAGCCTATTAACGCTGGTGTTCCACAAGGCTGTGTGCTATCACCAACGCTGTTTCTTCTGCATATCAATGATATGTTGCTAACTGGTAACATTCATTGCTATGCGGATGACAGCACTGGTGATGCTCTATACACCGGCCGTGCCAATATTTCTCGGGAAAACGTCGCTGAGTACCGGGACAAACTTGTGTCTGAAGTCGAGTCTTTGCTGAACAAAGTCTCGGATTGGGGGCGACTAAATCTAGTCCAATTTAATCCTCAGAAGACACAAGTTTGCGCGTTTACCGCTAAAAAGAACCCCTTTGTCGTATCTCCTCAGTTCTCGTATCTCATCGGTATCCTCGGAGTCGACATATCGAGTGACGTGCAGTTTCGTGGTCACTTGGAAGGGAAGGCCAAATTGGCCTCTAAAAAGCTTGGCGTGCTCAGCAGAGCGGGACAGTATTTCATGCCGGCACACCGCCTGCTACTTTACAAGGCGCAAGTTCGGCCTCACATGGAATACTGTTCCCATCTCTGGGCAGGGGCTCCCCAGTGCCAGCTCCTTCCACTTGACCGCATCCAACGCAGAGCGGCTCGAATCGCCGACGACCGAGCCCTTTCCGATCGGCTCGATTCATTGGCACTGCGAAGAGATGTTGCATCCCTTTGCATTTTCTTTCGCATCTACCATGGGGAGTGCTCTGAGGAATTGTTCGGATTAATCCCAGCCGCCAAATTTCACGAACGCACATCGCGGCAGAACTGCCGATACCATCCACACCATCTGGATGATTGGCGGTCCACCACTGTGCGATTTAGAAGATGTTTTCTTCCTCGCACGACCTCCTTGTGGAATCGATTACCATCAGCGATTTTTCCGGACCGATACGACTTAGGGACCTTCAAGAAAAGAGCGTACTCCTTTTTAAAAGGCCGGCAACGCATCTGCGATTCCCCTGGTGTTGCAGTTGTTCATGGGCGGCGGTAGTCACTTACCATCAGGTGAGCCGCATGCTTGTTTGCCCCCTCTCCTATAAAAAAAAACACTGAATTTAAGCTGTTAGTTTAGGGTAACTAATTATTGACGAGGGACCTAATCCCATTGCGGATACACGCAGAGAACTCCGTCGCGTGCGACGTACAGTGCGCGCGTCTGTCCCGCCTACATTATTGATAATATATCTTAATATATTATTAACGAACACTAAAAATACAGTAATTAAAATGCCAACACTTAAAATTCTCTTATTGATATGGAACGCGTAATAATCGGCCTGTATCGTGGGATAGAGAGAGAGAGAGATGCTCGTCAATAACAAGTGAGTATTATCCGTCTTTTGGCAGACTGTAAATAAGTTTGTAAAATCTGTATAGATACGAGTATCTTATCTTTTTATCTTCTTTTTTTTGTAACTTTTTATTTAAAAAATGTACAAAAAAATTTGATGACGGCTCCGTGGCGCAGTGGCTTAGCAATGAGAGTTACTGCGCTGGGGGCCGCAGGTTCGAATCCTTCACGGAACAAGTATTTGTATGGCCTACAAATAATTGTTCCGGGTTTGGATGTTTGTCCTTGTGTAATTTTTGTTTGTAAACTGCCTCCACGATACAGGAGAAAATCCTAGTGTGGGGCTAACATGTTTGATTAAAATAAAAAAGTATAAAAAAATAATATAAGTTATACGAGTATTTCTGATTTCAAAAAATTATACGCATTTATATATATAGTAGGATTAGTCTAACTTATCTCTCAACTTACGATGTAAGTCTAAATTATATTTAACAAAGTATATTTTCAGATGCTCCTGTTATTAAAGATAGCAAACATAAGAAATTAATCCAAAAGATTGGTCAACAAACCACAATCAAATGCTTGGCAGATGGAGTACCAATACCAGACGTTACATGGTCATTGAATGGAATAGAAATAAGTGATGGACACCAATATCGCATATACAGAGATAACACCTTAAAGTATGATTACTATTTTTATTTAAAACTTTATCTAAGAGAGACGCTAAGTCATTCAAATTCAATGTATCTTAGTTTTAATTAGCGCGCAAATGATTGTTACACATACCCATTTTTTTAGCTCTATAAAGTTAGCACTGAAAAGTCAGCAGAAACCTTAAAATTGTATTCAGGAATTTGTAGCTAATTTGTTGCTAATTAGATATCAAAATCACGATTTTGTTGCTCCATTAAGATAGCAGTAAAATCTTTCAATCAACCCCACCGTAGCTGATAAAACGGGATAATTTGATGCTAATTAGTTGATGAAATATAATGCAAAAAAATGTTAAAAAAATCAAACATTAAAAAAAATTCAAAAAAAAATATCAAGTGATGTTTAAAAAATACTGATTCTGTAGTTCCAAATTAATGGCAATTTTGCTGCTGATTAATAAATAGATCAATAACTCTATATATACAACAACATAAAATCGGTCGATAAGTTATATCAAGTAATAAGTTGTTCGTACAAATAAATGTGTACATGTTGCTTATACGGATGATTTAAAAACAGAACAACAGTTATATTGTTGCTGTTCAGTTATGGAAGCAGCAAGTAATAAAGAGCCAGAAACAAAATAAAATCGATCTATGAGCTGCACCAAGTTATTAGTTAGTTATTATTTGTGTGCAAACTATATTTTATGGAAATTTTAAGAAAAAATATAGCAGATATTTTGTTGCTCGTCGACAATGGAAGCAGCAACTCATAAAGAGCCAGCATCAATAAAAATAGATCGAACAGCTGCACCAAGTAATTAGTTAGTTATTATTTGTGTACAAACTATATTTTTATGAAAATTTTAAGAAAAAATATAGCAGATATTTTTTTGCTCGTCAACAATGGAAGCAGCAACTCATAAAGAGCCGGAAACAAAATAAAATCAATCGATAAGCTATACCACGTTATTAGTTAGTAATTATTTGTGTCCATGCTATATTTTAAGGAAAATTTTAGTACATGCTATATTTACATGAAAATTTTAGGAAAAAAGATAGCAGATATTTTATTGCTAGTCAGTAACGAATGCAGCAACTCATAAAGAGCCAGCAACAAAATAAAATCAATCGATAAGCTGCACCACGTTATTAGTTAGTAATTATTTGTGTATATGCTATATTTTTATGAAAATTTTAGGAAAAAAGGTAGCAAATATTTTCTTGCTGAACAGTAACTGATTACTTAGTGGAGCTTATCGATTTATTTTTATTGTTGCTGGCTCTTTATGAGTTGTTGCTTCAGTTACTGTTCAGCAACAAAATATCTGCTACATTTTTTCCTAAAATTTTCCTAAAAATATAGCATGGACACAAATAATTACTCACTAATAACGTGGTGCAGCTTATCTATTGATTTATTTTGTTGCTCTCTCTTTATGAGTTGCGGCTTTCGTTACTGACCAACAAAAAAAATTCTGCCAAATTTTTCCTAAAATTTTTACGATATAACTTGAACACACATAATTATTAACTTATTACTTGGTGCAGCTTATTGATCGATTTTACTTTGTTGCTGGCTCTTTGTAACTTACTGCTTCAGTTATTGAGCAGCAACAAAAATTCTGCTAACTTTATTTCTCAAAAATTTTACGTAAGTATAGCGTGTACACAAAAAAATACTAAGTAATAACTTGGTGCAGCTCATAGATCGATTTTATTTTGTTTCTGGCTCTTTATTACTTGCTACTTCCATAACTGAACAGCAACAATGTAACTATTGTTCTGTTTTTAAATCTTCCGTATAGGCAGCTTGTACACATTTATTTGTAACTTATTACTTGATATAACTGATCGACAGATTTTATGATGTTGTAGGCTGTCTGGGAGTTATTGACCTATTTATTAATCAGCAGCAAAATTGGGATTAACTTGGAACTTCAGAATCAGTATTTTTTAAACATCACTTGATATTTTTATTAAGTTTTGATTTTATTTTTTGAATTTTTGATTTTTTTAACATTTTTTTAGCATTATATTTCAGCAACTAATTAGCAACAAATTATCCCGTTTTATCATCTACAGTGGGGTTGATTGAAAGATTTTACTGCTATCTTAATGTAAAGATAGCAGTAAATCAAATTTCTCAAAATCGGTTGGAGCAACAAAATCGCGATTTTGGTAACTAATTAGCAACAAATTAGCTACAAATTCCTAGATACAATTTTAAGGTTTCTGCTGACTTTTTACTGCTAACTTTATAGAGCTCATTTTTTTCTCTTCTCGATTCTCGATCTCTTCTCAAATGGGAATGAAAAACTAGTCCTCAACTGTAATTGTTACCTATGAGGACAAAGATACTTCGGAACGATAAATAATAATAATAATAATTGTTATTTTAGTAATTCTATTAGAATCTGGGGACGGATAAGTGTGCGGTCCTCCATGTTGAATGGGGAAGTGTTGCTAACTCTAAGGGCAAAGACTTATCTATGCCCATCAACATAAGGACCATTTCCGAAGCTGAAACATACCGATATCTGGGAACTTCGGTATCGATGAGGGTATGAAGCAGTCAGTTTGCGATGGGTTTTATGCACGCTTGACTAAAGTGCTGAATAGCCTATTGTCCGATGTGAATAAGACATACGCATATAACGGTTGGGTCTGCCTATTCTCATGTATACCTTTGGCATACTTAAGTGGACTTAAACTAAACTTATCGCTCTGGAAAGAAAAGTCCGCACTACTATGACGTCCCATAGGATGCATCACCCGAGATCGTCAAATATGAGATCGTTGATTATCATCACAGACAGGACCGTAATTTCCGGAACGGTGCCCAACCGAGTTGAATCCGTCGATTGACCTCTCGGTCGAAGTTGGACTTACCTAGTCGGACTATTTGTCAACTTCGAGCTAAGTGCTCCCAACAACTACCGGCATAGGTGTGACATGGACAATAAACACGATCTTTGTTTTGTCCATGTCGCCGCATCTTGCCGTTTTTAAGGTGCTGGAGAGCCATTCTAATCTCACTCAGACTGACGTCCGGGATATCTTCGGAATAGTGTCGGATAAGACTCGCTCTTGGATGGTTACTCACACTTTCGTGTGGCTCCAACGATGACGTGTACAGCTGCCCATAGAACCTCTCAATCTCACTCAAAATCTCAGGTGTCCCGGAAACGATGCTGCCACACTCGGTCTTCAGCCTTGACAGTTGGCTCTTTCTGGCAGAGAGATCTCTGGCAAAGACTTTGGAGCCTTGGTTCCGCTCGATTACTTCTTCAATACAAGCTGTATTAAAGTTGCGTAAGTCCCGCCGCATGCATTCGGATATCTGTCTGTTCAGTTGCCTGTATGCTGTCAAATCTACTGAAGACTGCAGCTTCATATCCCGTCTAACAGCCATGAGATTAAGAGTGTGATCGGAGAGTTTTTGTGTTCTTCTGCGGCGGGTCTTGCAAAACTTAGCTCCGACCGCATGGACAGTTTCCACAAGCTTGTCATTCATATCGTCCACTGCATCGCAATCTTCTAGGCACTGAAAACGGTTTCGTAGCTCAAGCTGAAAGGTTTCGGGACATTGGAACAGAGCACGAGGGGGACGGAGCGTTGACTTCATTAGACGAGACCTCTCCAACTTAACGTTTAGGTTCAGTGTGTCTCTCACCATTCAGTGATCGCTGCCGGTTTTCACCCTCGCGATCACTGAGACATCACTGAACAGTTGTCGTCTGGTCGTCATAATGAAGTCAATCTCATTTTTTATCGAACCGTCGCGTCTCGACCAGGTCCACTTCCTGTGGGGCCGCTTCTTGAAGAAAGAGTTCATCATAAAGAGTCCCTCTTTCTCAATGAAGTCGGCCAGCTGCTGGCCCCTTGGGTTCCGTTGCCCTATTCCAAATTTCCCCACTTTCAGCTCACCGTTCTCTCTTGTACCTAGTTTTGCGTTGAAGTCTCCCATTAACACCGTATGGTGCATGTAGGAATGCAGGAATGCATGGTACTAGAGATATCCTCATACATTTCCTCCACCTCCTCATCGGGGTGTGCCGAAGTTGGTGCGTAAACCTGTATGACCTTCAGCGAATACCGTTTGGTGATTCTGAGTATAAGGTACGCAACCCTCGTCGACAGACTCCCAAATGGTCGCCCTCCTGGTGATAGGACAAGTTGCCGGAATCGAGGATTACCGTGTCCTCCCCCTCTCTTCGGACCTCGGATAATCTTATGATATTCCAGCGCAACTTTTCTATCTCTTCTTCCAGCTCCAGGATCTTCTCGTCAGTCTTCAGGGTGCGTGCGTTATAAAGTTGCCAGGTCGAGTTGTCGTAGGTGGCAACCGAACCTCCACCGGAGATTCTTAGCACCCCCTGCCCCGCCGATACCATGGTCGCCACCGTAGTCAGGAATAGCGGGGCCTCCGGGGACTTGGGGCCATCTCTTTGTTACTCTCAACATAGGGGGGTATTTGCCATAGTTGCCACGCTTGGCGAGCGGGTTGGGAATCGCAGTTTTTTATTGTAAGTTTGTTGTTATCAGGAACATGCTGCTGCCCATCTCCTGCCTGTTTACACTACACGGCATTGGATGTAGGTGGTTTAGAATCTTGCTTTGTGGTATTTCTTGGGGAAGGCCTATGTTTATCAGTAGATTTGTGAAAGGCTGTAATGATGAATTATGATTCTGTGAGTGCGTGGTTCACGCTCGGTCGAGCTGCAGTTTTCCTCTACCACGTTAATTATATTATAAAACATACAGAAATCTGGCTGTTATATTGTTTTGTGACTGTTTTGCGTTGCCTGTATGTAGTAAGCCTAATTTAATCCGTTCAATATTTTTAAGCTTTTCGTATTTCAACTAAGACTTTATTTCAACTATTTTGTTTTATTAGTACCAGTGATGCTTTAAACTATTTTGTAAGGTATTTATTTGACGATATGTGTTTTTCTACACCTAATTTAAAACGTTGTAACCTTCCTCTCATCAATGCATAAGTTTAAACAGCCATGCACATTTGACCAGACATATTTTTTTGACAGATTCAAAGCTTCTGTAAAAAATTCGGGAGAATATACATGTGCAGCTGTAAACAAATTAGGTTCCGCTAAGAAGACTACAACGGTGAAAGTTTTTGGTAAGTGCATACTTGTATTTATACTAAAATTACTGCTGGAGCTAACATCATCATCATTACAGCCCTTAACAAGGGGATAACATCATCGTCATCATCATCATTACAGCGTTTCACAAGTCTACTGCTGAACATAGGCCTTGGCATTTGGCCTCCCATTTCCTTGGGGGCTAACAACTCATCTCTCATGTAAGTACGTATTTTTATAGTAGTGCGAAATACTAGCACGAGGCTTACCTGATGGAAGATGTTGACCGCCGACCATAAATAATTACAACACTAGAGGAATTGCAGATGAATCGCTGGTATTTTAATACATAACCGACCAAGTGCGAGTCGGACTCGCGCATGAAGGATTCTGTACCATCGTACAAGATTTACTATGTAGGTAAAAAAACGTTTCTAGGAGGGTAGGAGCCCCTTTATATTTTAATTTATTTTTATTTTTGCTGTTATAGCGACAACAGGTATATATATATATATATATATATATATTCTGTGAAAATTTCAACTGTCTACCTATTGCAGATCATGAGATACAATTCGCTGACAGACAGACGGACAGCGGAGCGGATGTTACTAGTTGCAAACTATCATTAGTATTGTGACTGCGCATTATTATTAATAATGAATAATAATTAATTTGTATATAAAGTCGTCTAAAATATCTTAAAAGTTATTATACTTTGAACAATTAAAATGCTTAAATAAGCATAATGTTAAAATACATTCATTTCGACCATTAAGTATTATAGTAAAGTAAAGACATAATGTCTTTACAAACTCGTTAAGTTTACTAAAACTGCTTAAAATATTCAAAAGGTATTAACTCATAAAATTAATATACAAAAATAAAAATTTACTAATAAATATATACATATGTACACAAAATTATAACATTAACTATGCTTTGTGAAGTGAGTAAAATGAAAAAAAAGTAGTTTTGTCGCTAAAAGGAAAAAAGCGTGCTATGGTATGACTGTTCGTAATAATCTAAAATAAGTTCATTATAAATTTAGCAATTCAAGTCTAATTATACTTTTTATTATATATTATTTATTGGAACGAAGTTTTTTATCGGACGGTACGGCTTTGGAGGATGGGGCTAGGCGAGAAAAAGTTAAGATTTTTCCGTCACGACCCCTTCTGACGTAGTGTAGACGGCTTTGGCGCACAGCGGTGACATTCTCTGTACGTGAGAGTTCAAGCGCTGTTGACATTTAAGCCGGAGCGTGTAACGCTAGGGTTGATACCGAACCAATATGGAATATTATAGACTTGTGCCAAAGAAGATACATAGTAGGTATATGTTATATAAGGCTAAGCGTCCACTAGGCTCGCCGAGCCGAGTCGAATCGAATCGCAGAAAGTCGCCTCTCTTATATTTACTATGAAACTGCGTCCATTAGCGACGAGCCGCGGCGCACCTAATTGAAACGACCGCGCGAATTGCTTGACAGGCGAATTTCTTTGCCGACGAGATTCGACTCAACTCGTCGCGCCTCAGTCGACGCGGCGAAGTGGATGCATGCCAGCGTATTTTAATTAATTTCTATTTCGTTTTCGAAAAAAAATAAAAACATGTTAAAAATGTTTAAATAAAAATAAATGAAGAACTATTGATATCACTGGTCCAACAATATTCAGAATTGTTTAATCATGAAGATCCACATTATCATGATGAAATAAAAACATCTCTTCATCCGAGCTGTCCATGACGCAAATACGACCTATTTTGTTGAAGAATTTGCGATGAATGAACAATTCGATTCGATTCGTCAGAGATGGACGCACTAGGAATAAATGCAACTCGCTACGATTCGACGCATTTCTGCTGTAGTCGACGCCAGGCTTTATGTAAATCGCACCCTTAGAATTATAGAGACTCAACAAGGAAACGCAAATTTTTGGTAAGCGTGGCATAAAGATTCACAAGTCTATCAATCTTGTAGAAAACAAAAGATATTCGACTGAATTTTGAAAATATTATGAAATTGTTATTTTTATATCAAACTTTAGTTATTTACCTAGATGATTTTAAATAAATTAATGAAATTAAATAAATAAAACTATAGTATTTAAAACATTTTTAAATCATGGTGCATTTTAGGTTTTTATTTTAATGAAATTGGATTTTTTAAAAAGACCTTTTATGTTTTAGGTCTCTATATTTCTGAGTTTTGACTGTAAGATGCGTTACATTCACAAATAAGACACTATAGTAGTTAAATTATTTAAGGTAATTTTATATTCCATACATAAAAAACAACATAAGGAATAAAATGTTTTATTAAAAATTAAACTTACAAAGAATTTTAGCTTAAAAATCTACTTTTATTATTATTATCAATCATCACAACCATGGTAAATAATTTATCAATAAACTTTGCATAACAAAACTTAAATCTTTGATATAAATTGCCTAATAATTAGGTATATATGATAAGCTTATCACAATCATTAAGGAACTTGTTTGGAACTTAATACTTAAAACTTTCATAATAACAAAAAATTACAGCATAGAGCTATAAAAATCTGCGTAATAACTAGGAATTAGGTTTTTATTAATGAGATCGCGCAAGTCTTTTTTCTTACGTTCACTTAACTCTAGTCTTTGTGAAAATGCTTTGGTCCCAGTTATTTCTTCTGGACTCATCATTTTCTTACGTTTGTTCCTTATGTTAACCTTTTTGAACTCACTTTGACTGTACGAAGTTTTATAAGAGAAGATAAATGGTTCGGCTTTATTAAACTGCAAAACTTTTACGTCGTTCAAAATAACATTGTTTTTATCATCATCATCATCATCATCATCATTACAGCCCTTCACAAGTCCACTGCTGAACATAGGCCTCCCCCAAAGAATACCACAAAGCACGGTCCTGAGCCACCTGCATCCATCGACTTCCTGCATGTCTTACCAGGTCGTCACTCCATCTCGTGGGGGGACGCCCTACACTTCGCCTACCGTTTACCTTTTATCATCATCTTCATTAAAATTATATCCCCATAGTTCTTGAAGTGCCTTTAAATTAGTGAAAAACTCGTATGTTAACTCTTTAACGGTAAAAGGTTTCCCATTCTTACGAGCATTTTTAATCAGAGTTACATATTGATATGGTGCATAAATTGGTCCACCTTTTTTATTTTTTTTAACTTCTTTCTCAATGAAGCTATGAACATTATCTCCTTCGTTTTGTAAATGTCCCTTGATGAAGTATTTGTGAGTGATGGTTTCTATGTTTTCAAAATTAGTAACTGCATAAGAATATAATGTTATTATAAACTTATTTTTATTCTGTCCACAAAAATTATCCGAATAAAAAGTGACATGAAGATTTTTATTCGGATTTTGTTCATTTAAGTTGTTCAGATAGTCTAGAATACACGATCCTATTTCATTAGCTCCCCTGTTTCCTTGCATTTCATCCCAAAAGTAGCTGTACACGTCACTGTAAGCACCTATGTCATTGTCATTGTATTCTTCATTTATTTTACGTTTTTTAGGTATTTCTGATTTCTTAGCCATTAATTCTACTATAGTGAAATTTAGAAAATTGAGTTTTGATTTGTAAAAAAATGAAGAAATGTCTCTGGTAGGGCACTGCATGACGGCTTGTAAATCATAAACAGAGCAAATGAATGTATCATTGATGTTTTGGCGGTCTAGGCGTTTTTCTTGGCGACACAAATTTTTTTCTTTAAGGTGCTCATCGTATTTATATTTTATTTTTGTTTTCCAATCCACCGTTGCATCTTCATAGTCTAGACATAAATCACATCTGTCTTTTTTCGGTTGAAAAAAGCTAATATTAAATTGTTTTGTAAAAATTTCATAGTAGACCCAATAGTCACAAGAAGGTTTACCTTCTTGTTTTTGAATTTTATCAAAATCTTTCCAGATGTCAGTTAAGGTTCTATCCCCACTGATGTATTCTGTGGTAGTTGCTGCTCTCAAATAATGAGACTCTATTCTTGGAATTGAGTTTATGTGTTGTTTAATATTCTCGATGAGCGCTGGATCTATAGGCTGTCTTGACACGTGCTTACCTCTTATATCGGTATTTAAGAATCCTTGTGGGTCAGTCTTCTTTTTTACTGTTCTGATCTGACGATTGCATATTCCCAGAGTATTAATGAAGAAAGTCTTACATACCCGAATTCGGGTGTTATTTATTGTGAAATAAAATGCATTATTTGGTAGTCTAGGTTTAGCAGAATTACTATATTTGTACTTTGGCTTAATTTCCATCATGCAATTTCGTATGAAAGATCTTTGTAGTTCTATGTTGCCTAATGACCAATATTTATCAAACAATGTTTTTCTGTCTGCATCAACGACGTTTTCTGGACATTTAAGTCTACATTTACAAGCATCTTTAATGACACGGGCCGATACTTCCTTTTTAGTGGTACATGAAACATAAGCCTTTCCAGTGTTTCTTAAGATTTTTGCAACATTTTGCTTCCAGTTTGATGGATTTCGTTTGCGTTTTCTTGATTTTTTAGTTGTCTCGGAAGTTTTAGTCAATTCGAGAGCAGTGTTGGCTGAAGACGAAGAACTGCTGCTGGATAAACGAGTAGTTCTAGACCGAGAGCTATCAAGAGTATAAGTTGGGTCTGTGTCACTTAGATCTACATCACTTTCATTTGAATGAATGGGTGACTGATGGTAATTCTTTGTATTTTTGCGTGTAACTTGACCCGTCAAGTTAGATGTGGAAGGCCCATCTATGGATAAATGGGTATTTGATATATTTTTGTAAAAATTGGTGTGAGCATCAGAAGACGACGACGATGATGATGAAGATCTACTTGAAGAAGAAGTAGTACTGTCAGATGATGTTGACGAATCACGATATGACTTTTTTGACGGTGGGTATTCTTTTTCATTAGTAGGTACATGTGACTGTTCAGAATTGTTCAAGTCTGGTTCTAAAACTATAGTAAATTCCTGGATTTGCGTTTTCGTTTGTAGCTGGAAATAATATTATTTCATTTAAATAGAAGAAGAAATAAACAACATAATATTTAAATTGTCAATTGAAAACCCACCTTGTTGGTGTCAACTACACAAAGCACCTTTGGGTCAAAGTATGGAATGGATCGGTTTGGAGAGTTTTCTATTATGGAGGGGCTATCCGTTAATGATTTATTATTTGTTTCGGGGATAACCTGAAAGTAAATTTTTAACAAATAAAAATTGGATTAAATTATGTCAGTATAAAAGTACAAAGTACACACAACATCTAGCTTGAGGAAACTGTTTGGTAACTTACATAATACTAGCAGCTGTTCTTTACGATTTTACCCACGTAAGTAAAACTTTTTCTATACCGCGAATAGTTTTAAGTTCTGATGTTAATACAATAAAATAATTTCTATTGACACTATTGATGTGTGTATTTACCTCTGCAACAATTTGGTCCATCTGGTTGAATGATAATTGATCTGGATACTCCTCACAAGATGAATTAAATGGCAGAATATTATTTTCTTTGTTTGTGTCAGTCTGAAAATATAATATTTTAATTTTTGATATCCATCAATTCAACACCAATCTGTTTCAAATATATTACCAAGGTACATACCATACGAACACAGTTATATTGGTAATTTTGTGATGTTTCCGTATTATTATTAGCATGTGCCTAGAAATAAGGGTATTAAGAAGGTCATTGATTAAAATAATTACTGTTTTGGTAAAAAAAAGAATAATAATACGAACAAAAGTATGTTTACCTGGTTTTTACTATTGAAATTGACTTTTTCTAAAATATAATCTACTCTTCTCTTCATGTTTTGACTTGTTTCACCTAAAATGTAAAAAAAATATGAACTACAATTGTCAGATTCAATAGAAGAAACAAAACAATTTCATTACCAGATAGACATTTCGGTAAATACGACTTTCAAAAACTATAACTATTATTACAAGAAAGCCGTAGTCACGAATAAGTTTTTATAATGCACAGTATTTTATAATTATAACGACCAAAGGATGATTGAGTCTTTAATTGTTATATATTTTCAGTTAAAGATGGACTTAAACAATAATAAGTCTTGTACACAATTAACATTTTTGCTATAACATGGACTTATTACAAAATGGGTCTTTACTTTATCAAAAAAGTAACGTGTACATACCTTATTTTTCAGTAATGTAAAGACTGAATCCGGATTAGGTCTCCACAAAAACAAACACTTAGCGACTTTCACTAATGACGCGTGGCACATTACTGATTGCGTCACTCTAAACCCGAGAGGGCGCGGGGAACAGGGGCCGAGCGATAAAGACCTAAATTGTGTTTGTCCTTTTCTACTCATAAATCGGTCACTGTTTTAATTAAAGTCGATGCAGATGATCATTTTAGGTCGTTCTGTGGCGGAAAGTCAAAATATCAAAATTTCGTATTGGGTCTGTATAATTCTAAGGGTGTGTTATGTATTTAGGTAGTGAAAAATACGATCAATTTTAAATCAATTTTTATTAAATATCTTTACAGATGGGGAAAATTTTAATTTCCGACAAAACAAAATATGCACGACAGTTAATGGTAATCTTAAATAACTAACCAACACTTAGAATTTCAGTACGCAATAATCAGTATTACCTACCACCCTTTAAAAATTACTTACTCTTATATATTTTTGGCTTTTTCGATGACTTTTATAATTTTTATTATTATTTCTAACAATTGCAAAATTTCGTAGCCGTATTAACATTTTTTTTAGTAAATCCATAGGGAAGCATATATAGATAGATAACACTATTGTACGCAAAAAATAACATAAATCATAACAAAAAACGACAAAAAATGTGGCACAATGGGTCGTCTTATCACTAAGAGCGATCTCATCCAGATAACTTTGGATGGACAGGATTGCAAGAAAACAATAAAAACGTGTGTGGTTTGTAGACAAAAACAACATTATTTTTATTAAATCCATAAAATAGAAATATAGAATGGTATATAAGTATATAGATAAGACAAATACATACATACATATTAATATATATGTATATATATATATATATATATATATATATATATATATATATATATATATACATACATATAAATATATATTTTTATAAATATATAAAAGTACAAATATATACTTTAAAACTATTATATATAACATAAATGTGCCATGAGATGAAGCTACATTCTTCAACAGATTTGACAGCATACAGGCAACTGAACAGACTGATCTCCAAATGCATGCGGCGGGACTTACGCAACTTCAATACAGCTTGTATTGAAGAAGCGATCGAGCGGAACCAAGCCTCCAAAGTCTTTGCCAGAGATCTGTCTGCCAGAAAAAACCAACTGTCAAAGCTGAAGACCGAATGTGGCAGCATCGTTTCCGGGGCACCAGAAATTTTGAGTGAGATTGAGAGGTTCTATGGGCAGCTGTACACGTTATCGTTGGAGCCACACGTAAGTGTGAGTAACGATCCAAGAGCGAGTCTTATCCGACACTATTCCGAAGATATCCCGGACATCAGTCTGAGCAAGATTAGAATGGCTCTCCAGCACCTTAAAAACGGCAAGGCCCTAGGCGAGGATGGAATTACAGCGGAGCTTCTGAAAGCGGGTGGAAAACCGGTACTTGAAGTCCTTCAGAAGCTCTTTAATTCCGTCCTCCATGTTTCCATTACACCGGAGGCGTGGAGCAGAAGTGCGGTGGTCTTGTTCTACCAGAAAGGTGACAACGCTCTCATGAAGAACTACAGACCGATTTCCCTTCTGAGCCGCGTCTACGTGCTGTTTTCGAGAGTTATTACGAATCGTCTCGCGCGCAGACTTGACGACTTCCAGCCTCCCGAACAAGCCGGTTTCCGAAATGGCTTTAGCACCATAGACTACATACATACCCTTCGGCAAAATACAGAAGTCCGAGGAGTACAATTTGCCACTATGTCTGGCGTATGTGGACTATGAGAAAGCCTTTGATTCCGTTGAACTTCGGGCGGTGCTGCAGTCCCTTCAGCGGTGCCAAGTTGACTGTCGGTATGTCGAAGTGCTTAAGTGTTTGTACAGTGGAGCTACGATGGCTATCCGAGTACAGAGCCAGAGTACGAAACCTATCCAATTGCAGAGAGGTGTAAGACAGGATGATGTTATATCGCCGAAACTCTTCACCGCTGCATTCGAAGACGTTTTTAAGCTTCTGGAGTGGATAGGATACGGTATTAACATCACTCACCTTCGATTTGCCGACGATATAATCCTTATGGCAGAATCGCTGGAGGACCTAAGCACCATGCTCAATGACCTAGAAGCCTTAAGTCGAAGTTTGCAGGATATTCGCAACAACCTTTTTCTGAAGTACGATGTTGTAGTCTGCACGCAAGTGACTTTAAATAAATACTACCAGTTATTGAAAGAGACACTGCGCCGGATAAACTGAAAGCATGTCTGAAGGCAACGTCACTACGTTCCAGAGTGGAAAAACGACATCTGACGTGTGATATGTGCGTGCAGCTTCATTACGATCACCTTGCAATGAAATTGCAAATAATCGAACAGGAGTCGCAGATTAAAAATCAATTTTCTTATAAGTTTTGCGATCCGGTGGCGACAGAAAATGAATTTATTGCTTTTTTTTTCAAAAGTTTAATGATTAATATTATCGACAATGAAGGTTGGTTTGTGGAAGGTGTCAGTGCTTTTACCAACAAATTAATCTGTTATTAAAAAAGTGTTAGTCGGTGAACCAAATATTTACTCATAGATAGATTGTATGTTGTGTTGTAACGGTGACCACAGTGCTGCGTACCAGTCGCGTACCTGGGTAGTAGTCGTAGTAATCAAATCTTCGTGATAAAGATTCTCGTTTCAAAACAGAATAAAATTTAATCTCCAAGCGTAACACTGCAAGACTTTTGGACGCAATATGCATAGATTGAACCAAAATAATTAATTAAAATCTCTAATTCCTTGTGGCCATAGGTTATACAAAGCTTTCAAAATGTTGGGAATATAAAAAAAAGTTGTAATATACGTAAAAGTACAAAATAATTTATGCTACGTGACAAAATATGATAATAATTTTTTTGAGCATTTTATTATGACACTTGAATTATGTGAATTGTTCTGATTATTATTAATGTTACATGATATTGTTAAATCCTTTTTTTTTCAGAACCAGTGACCATAGATGTACCTAAAGATACTAATATAAGGGTGCAGGTTGGAAGTAACCTTGAATTATCCTGTAATGTCAAAGGATATCCAAGTCCTACTATCAAATGGCTATTCATTTCATCACAAACCAATGATAAAAAGTATGTATATTTTATATTAATTAAAACTCATTAACACTTTATATTTTTTTTAGTAAATAAACAATTTAATCTTTTGTATAGTAGCTTATTCTAGCCTCCTAAGGCCCAAGAAAATTTATAGTCATAGAAATTAAACACTGAACTATCCTAACCTTGGAAAAAGTATAATACTGGACGTTGTCATAAGATGTTGCCCCTCTGTATGTGTATTTAACTCGTGATGATGTATCTTTATCTATTCCACGAGTATATTTAATATAAGTTTGACAACGCCGCACTGTCTGTGTAGGTCGAGTCAGTTTATGAAGTTCGTCAAAACATTGCGGTAAAGTTTATACAACTATGACGAAATCGTAAGAAATCTCACTGTTTAGCTAAAATTTATTTGAAAAAGTTAAAATACTCGTATGTCTTATTCAGCTGTGTCTTGAACGTGAACGACAACAAAAGAGGAGTAAATATCCGGAATTGTTATGTAGTACGTAAGTCTTCGACAACATTTTGTATCATATTAATTAGCGTTCAGAATGAGGTTTTTTTTACAAAATTTGCAGAAATTATATTTTATTAGTTATAAATCATAATATATTCCTATAAATTCCAGCGTAAAATAGCGGCTTAATGCTGCTGTGTTTCGTATGGGGAGTGTAGAGAACCTCTCAATCTCACTCAAAATCTCAGGTGCCCGGAAACGATGCTGCCACACTCGGTCTTCAGCTTTGACAGTTGGCTCTTTCTGGCAGACAGATCTCTGGCAAAGACTTTGGAGCCTTGGTTCCGCTCGATCGCTTCTTCAATACAAGCTGTATTGAAGTTGCGTAAGTCCCGCCGCATGCATTTGGAGATCTGTCTGTTCAGTTGCCTGTATGCTGTCAAATCTGTTGAAGAATGTAGCTTCATCTCCGGTCTAATAGTCATGAGATTGAGAGTGTGATCAGAGAGTTTTTGTGTTCTTCTGCGGCGGGTCTTGCAGAACTTAACTCCGACCGCATGAACAGTTTCCACGAGCTTGTCATTCATATCGTTCACTTCATTGCAGTCTTCTAGGCACTGAAAAGGGTTTTGTAATTCGAGCTCAAAGGTTTCAGGACTTTGGAACAGAGCACGAGGTGGACGGAGCGTTGACTTCATTAGACGAGACCTCTCCAACTTAACGTTTAGATTCAGTGTGCCTCTAACCATTCGGGGATTGCTACCAGTTTTCACCCTCGCGATCACGGAGACATCACTGAACAGTTGTCGTCTGGTCGTCATAATGAAGTCAATCTCATTTTTTGTGGAAACGTCGGGGCTCAACCAGGTCCACTTCCTGTGGGGCCGCTTCTGGAAGAAAGAGTTCATCATAAAGAGTCCCTTCTTTCTCCATGAAGTCGGCCAGCTGCTGGCCCCTTGGGTTCCGTTGCCCTATTCCAAATTTCCCTACTTTCATCTCACTGTTCTCTCTTGTGCCTAGTTTTGCATTGAAGTCTCCCATTAACACCGTATATTGGGTTTTGGTGGAATGCATGGCTCTAGAGATATCCTCATACATTTCCTCCACCTCCTCATCGGGGTGTGCCCTTCCTACCTGTATGACCTTCAGCGAATACCGTTTGGTGATTCTGAATAAAAGGTACGCAACCCTCGTCGACACACTCTCAATCTTTACAATATTGTTAACGAGAGACTTGTGGACGATAAATCCGACACCTCCTTGGGACTTTGGATAATCCTATAATATGCCAGCGTAACTTGTCTATCTCTTCTTCCAGTTCCACGATCTTCTTGTCAGTCCTCAGGGTTCGTGCGTTGTATGTTGCCAAGTTGAGTCGTCTTAGGTGGCAACCGAACCTCCACCGGAGATTCTTAGCACCCCCTACCCCGCCGTTACTATGGTCACCACCGTAGCCAGGAATAGCGAGGCCGCCGGGGACTGGGGGCCGTTTCTTTGTTACTTTTATCATAGGGGGTATATTGCCATAGTTGCCACGCTTGGCGAGCGGGTTGGCAACCGCAGTTTTTTTCATCTCATTGCATCTCCTGCATGTTTCCCTATGTCGCCTTTTACGACACCCACGGGAAGATATGGGGTAGTGGATATTCTTATCCGCCACTACACGGCGATTTTCTGATAGAGTAAGCGATGAAAAGTTATGCTTCATGACGGCGGAACATTTTAGCCTGGCAATTTAAATAATTCGGCGGTTGATCTTTAGTCACTGCATGATTCAGATTCTGACGACGGAGTGCTGTTTGTGACCGTTGATTTGTGAAATGTTTATCTTAACTCTTCGGGAAATTTAGACTAACATTGAGCTTGGGAATTTTGTTAGCCGGTATGCGATGTTGTTTGTGATAGTCCTTTATTCTGTATAAAAGAGCTAAATCCATTTTATAAAATGAGTAATCTATTTTGTGGCGCACGCACAAGCAGGACATTCTGACAACATTCTGTCGGCCACATTAACGCTGCCCGTAAACTGAATGTACTGCTTAAAGACTCCCGGACGACTAAACATTTCGTATCTTTTGTTGCGCTTGAACCACCGTCTACATTGATCTAGGGAAGAAGTGGCAATTGTCTTATCAGCTCAGCGGATATTTCAAATATAACTCGGGCTTTCTTTTTAAATTCCCTTTCAGCAGAAAAGCCGCAGATTCTGAGAGTCTTGCTTTGTTGAATTGTGCCTATTTATATAAAACATTTTGCTAGCAAAGTTTCAGCCAACTTAATCGTGGTGAAATAACGGTTAACGTAAAGTTGACGACTTGATTTGCTCTTCCTGCAACCTTGAGCTTTCACCGTAAACAAATTCGTTTAGGTTATTAAAACGGAAATTTTGATTTCCAGGACATTTTTGGCATATTCTGCAATTAACACTAAATGGAATAATCATTTCATCAATGCCGATGCTGTCCGCTCTCAGTCGACCGCGACAAATGTGTAGTACAGCAATAAAAAGAGAAGCCACTTTTCAGATTTTATTTGCTTTGTTTTGTTCTGGAACTTCGGCATCAACAACAACTTTGGACGATCTATAGCTGAAATAACGTACTTGAGTCATAGTGTTTTTAATATCTTATTTTTTAAATAAAATGTCCTCACTTATGTATTTTTTGAATTTGTCTTCGTCAGTCCAAGTATCTGTTACAGCAATGACGATCAGTTATTTTGTCCATACCCACCTCTCATTTTCACACGGCCTTTTGATCATCCTCCGCGTTCTTGGTCTACTTCTAATAACACGACTCCTAGTGACAGCAGTAATTAAGGCGGCCAAATATATTTCAGATCCCGGACGATTTTTTCTTTCTTTTCTGATTCGTTTGGGGAACCAGAATCAGATTCCCTACTACTTCTGTGGTACTAGCAACGCTTCTGAGTCATCTTCTTCATTAAATCGAATTCTGACTCGTTTGAAATATCAACTTGTTTGTTATCGCGTAAACCTAGCCAAATAAATAAAAATAACATTAGAATATGCAGCTGTATAGAGAAACATATCTATTTCATACAGATGTTACATTGAAAGCAGGTAAGGCAGCCGGTTATGATAGAGTATCTCTCGAAATGCTAAGGGCTGGAGAAGGAGTGGTGGTAGACCTGCTGTACACCTTGTTTAATTTATGTTGGGAACTTAAGCGGGTACCGGGAGACTGGTGCAAAGCCGTGATAGTCCCAATATATAAGGGAAAAGGATCACAGCAGGACTGTAAAAACTACCGTGGTATCAGCCTTCTTAGCATTGTGGGAAAACTGTATGCTAAGGTACTAATTGAAAGAGTTATGAAAGAAACTGATGGAAAAATTTGGGATGTGCAAGCGGGATTTAGAAAGGGAATGGGATGTACGGATCAGGTCTTTTCCATGCGCATGATCGCGGAGAAGTTTTTGGCCGAAAACCAAAAAGTTTTTTGTGCGTTCATAGACTTGGAGAAGGCTTATGACAGAGTGGACAGGGATGTGTTATGGCAAACACTGAACTCATTTGGGTTGACCGCTGGTCTGATACAGGCATTGAAGTCTCTATATAGGGACTCTAGTGCTTGTGTCAGGATCAACGGGGCCTACTCGGACTGGTTTGGCATCCATAAAGGTGTCAGACAGGGCTGTGTGGCTTCCCCGTGGTTGTTCAACCTATTTATGGACAGTTGTTTGGAAAATTTGAAAGTAGAAGAATGCGGGTTAAGAATGTGTGAGTTAACCGTCAAATGCCTTTTGTACGCCGATGATCAAGTCATACTTGCATCGTCGGCAGCCGAGTTGCAAATGATGGTTACATTAATGAACAGGACATTAAAAGAAAAGGGAATGAAAGTGAACGCAAGTAAGACGAAAGTTATGGTTTTTGAAAGAGAAGACAGCAAAACGATATGAAAAATAAGAATAGAAGGGGAGTTGGTAGAGCAAGTAGATGAGTTTGTATATTTGGGATGTGTGTTTAGCAGGGCTGGTAGATATGATAAGGATATAGAACGACGAGTGAATGCAGGAAATAGAGTGAATGGGGCTCTACACTCTATTGTGAAAAGTCAGAATGTGTCCAAAAAGGCACGTATGGCAATTCACAATGCTGTGTTAGTACCTACTTTAATGTATGGTAGTGAAAGTTGGGTGTGGCAGAAGAAGCATGAGAGTAGAATAAATGCTGTAGAAATGCGGTCATTATGAGGATTAGGAGTATGTTAGGGATGAAGCTGAATGACAGAGTGAGAAATTGTTTAATAAGAGAAGAGTGTGGTTTGCAAGATGATGTTGTGACCAGGATTAAGAAAGGAATGCTTCGGTGGTTTGGCCATGTAGAAAGAATGAATGAGGAAAGAGTGACAAAGCAAATTTATGTTGCAGAGGTGAACGGCATAGTCGGGAAGGGTCGCCCTAGGTGAAAGTTTATCGACCAAATTGGCGATATATTAAAAATGGGCCAAATCAAGAGTACCTTTAACCGACGAGCGTGTATGCGTAGGTATATGGATGTGGAGGAAGCGAGAGAGGTGTGTCAGGATCGTGCCAATTGGAAGTCCATAATCTCTGCCTACCCCTCTGGGTGACAGGCGTGAGTGTTTATGTATGTATGTATGTATGTATGTTACATTGGACTCCTTCCATTTATACTAGTAAATGGGACCTCATGTTATACCCGAATGCCATTCGAATTTCTCTACATATTTTATAGTTTTCATGCAAATTCCTTAAATTATTAAAACATATTTAATGAAAACTCTCCAAAGTCAAAAAGGAAAACATAAATTAGTTTCGAAATCGTTAATATTTTACTTAAAAATTCAAACTACTTATAAAGTGCTTCTGATCGAGATGCCATTGCTCACTTTAATCGATAAAAGATTAGAATAAACGTCAATTCGATTAATGATCACTGTTTGAAATTGCGTACAGATACCTTGTCTATTGAACTTTTAATAAAATTGTGGCAAATTGCAATAGATTTATGTGTGATATTTTTTCCGTTCTATGTATTATGAATATGATACCAGGCCCTAGGACGCTACGTAGCATTATTTGTATTGAATTGAAATGACGAATGAACTAACAGTCTACGTGATGATAAGTATGATCCATGGACATCTGAAACCAATTTTTAACAAAGAAGTCTACAGATGCGTTGTCATCACTGAGCTGAGATTGAATGCCTCTTAGCCTGTAATTATGCTGGCTTTCTATACCCTTCACAACCATGCACAACTGCTTGGTTTGCTATTTGGAATAAAACATGACAGGATCTTTTTTTATAGGATAGGGTGACAAAAGAGCACACAGTCCACCTGATGGTAAGTAGTTGCTGTGGCCCATAGACATCTACATCCATCCTCAATAAAGAATCAAAATGCAGATGCGTTGTCATCTGTGAGGACTAAGATGGAATGTCTCTTTTCCAGTAAAAAGGGTCTCCGGTTCTCTACTCTCACCATACGAAACACAGCGAGTTAAGCTGCTATTTTACGCTGGTATTCTGTGAGAGCGTGGCCCTTTCCTGGTCGAGCCGACCCATTCGTACTACAACTATACTACTAATATAACTGCAGCATGACTCTACCACATATAAAAAATCTCATACTTTAACGTCTTGCTTTGCGTCTATGTAGGCTTGAGTTATTACAATGTGTAACGATCTGAATAAGAAAAAACTTTGTTCACAGATATTTGAAAGCTTCTGATTTGTTGGTACTTTCAAGGATTCAGCTCCATGCCGACGGATTTTACATTTGTACAGCTAAAAATTTGGGGGGTTATGTCAACCTAACATATTCAGTTCACGTAGATGGTAAATGAATTTTAACATATTTTTAGTGTTTAGTGGTAAAATTGACAAAACAGTACATTGAAAATGTATTTTTTTTTTGGTTAAATTACCGTAAATTAAATATATATATTTTTGTAATTATCGGTTGAAATGTACAATAAAAGTTCTTTGTGCTTAAAAAATTATGTGCTTAGTCTTGGAAGTATATTTTATTTATTATGCAATATTTTAAAAAAAAAGGTGAAAAATTATGAACATTGGAAATTAGATGTTGAATTAACCAAAATTACATTTACGGAAAAAGATTACTAGAACAATGCATTGTTTTGAACAGCTTAATAACTAAGGTTTGGTAAAACTCTCTAATAAGACTGCATTCTCGATCTGAAATGATCAGAAAAATACACGAAATTATCTACTGATGTATGTATACTCCTTGAGACAACATGAAACAAATATGAATATGAAACAACATCAACAAAACATATACAATAACAATACATATAAAAATCATAATGACAGAACCACTATTGTCCAAACAGCGAGTTACTGAGAGATCTAATAGTATGTTGGGAATTCCTTTGCGTGATTATATTATGTGTAACGAAGATATTCACAGTAGAATCCTAATAACCTACCAGAAAGAACTGAAGTATTAATGAGACGGCCATATTACTCAACGAACGGACAATTTAATAAGGATTAAAATTTTCTCGAGTGACTAATGTTTATACGGCGGAACCAGACATGTAATTTTTTTAAGGTTCTTTGTACGTATGTTTGTATTTTGCTTTGTAATCTCTTGTATTCTAAGTCCGGAAAAATTTTCGGTAATAGACGATTCCACAAAGAAAAATTATTATATAGATTTATTTTGTAATAACCGGCCAAAGGACAATGTCCAAAACCGCCCTGTGTAATAAAAGCATCGGACATACACGATAATTAATTTTCTATTTTATTATATTAGTTGCAAATACTTTTATAACACGGACTAGCTGCATGCAAAAATGAACATTAAAAAGTATTATATTCGACTAACAACATTAATCGCCGCCATCTTCGCCAAACATCATGTGGTGTCGAAAAATGATTAGGGATCGATCGATTGTAATCGATTTTTGAATTTTTAATGAACTGTTGCATATTTTTTAATCTGAATTACATTTTGATTTACTTCGAATAAAGTTGCTAAAAGAAGCTACAATAAAAATATTATATTACCATTTCCTTATATTCTGATATATTATTCCCTACAAGTATAATTTTAAAAACCTACTATACCTATTGAATGTCATACTCGATTTTGAATAGGTAGTTAAAATATTGCTGAAGAAAAATATTCGTAAAGATAATTATTCAGGATTTTCTAATGATCGTTTAGACAGGAGTATATTTTACATCTTACTACACGATAACTTACGAGTTTACGACAATTAATTTAAAAAAAAAACTGTTATCGTTACTGCATTAATTATAAATGTGTTTTTTTTTAAAAGAGCAATATTGCAGACTAGATACAGATATTATTATTAATATTGTTACAAGTATGGAAGAAGTAGAGACGTACGTGTTATTATAAGTAAAGTAGGACAGTGTTATGGTATTAATATTATCGTATGACAAAAGATGATATATAGATGGTATATATAGATGGTATAGTGTTTGTAACGTACGGCTATAATAAATCTTAGGAAATATTCATAAGTCGTATCGTATTTGGCGCTTCTATTTTTGATGTCACTAAATGGTCACTTGTCAGTCACTCATGAAAAAAATACGATCTCCAAATCGATGCAAATTGAACATACTAGAATCGATTCTCGATTAAATCAAGCATTAACAGATCTATTTTTGATCAATCGCGACATTTTCAAATATTAATAAAATATTAGGCATATATAGACACAGAACATTATTGATGATAACTTACCGTAAATACAAGTAACTGTATAGAAAAATCATTAATTTAATAAACATAACATTACGCCAGTATTTTCCAGAAGGAGTAGGTAGAGGTGTGTAAGTACTGTTATGTTATACATTCCATGTAATAGGGGATGCGCGTATTGCCAAACACCGGACACAAATCCAGACTCCGTGCTACTACTGGGAACTTCAAGATATAAAAACCCAATAATAATTTGCCCGACCCTGGGATCGAACCCAGAACAGAACAGTTTTTCTGTCTGTCACAAGGAACAGATGTTCCAACTATGCAAAAGTATTTCTTGAATCGTTTGAAATATAGCTAGTTCTTGAATAAGTCCGATTCGAGAGGTTTCTCTATCGACATCGGACAAGGATTCTTCAGATCTATATCGATCTGGAAAATCGATTCTGTTACTATAAACAATCGATTAAAAGATTTCAAATGGACATGCCTACTTTGTACCGTCATCTCTAATTCTGTCAAAGTTACATTGGTTGGCGTCGTTTGCAACTGTAATTGTCTTTGTACATAATTGTATCGGTGTTGTGGTGACTTTCGGGACTATATATTGAACATTACGACTTGGCTATTTTAACGGACTCTGATTGCTTTCAAGAACGACTTACCTTGCTGTGATTTTTGGAACTGTGTACCACTCAAACGATAACCTAGCATTCATAAACGGACTTACGCATACGCAATGGAAAGTGTATTTTGTGTATCAAAATAATATCGACATCCCTGCACAGTTTTTAGACAATATTCTTATTTCCAATTTAGAAAATGAACAGTAAACATGAAATTAATCTGTGTTTTATTTCTAATTCAAACATAATAAGTTAATGTACGTGTAAAAACAACTTATACTACCAATAAGGTACTAAGTCGGTAGGGCTGGTTTCATAGTCACGCGTTTGAACAGCGCCGTCCAGACGCACACGCTTGCAAATGTACTAGATAGTAGTCTATAATATTCACGCTGTTCATGCGCGCGCTGTTGAAACTTGGTTGAAACCGTGGTTGATACGCTCGCTGTTCGACGGCATGTCTAGCGGTGTGACTGACAGCCTAAATCCTTATACATTTAGGTACTAGGTATCTTACCGTAACGTATAAGCTAATGACAACATCTAAATGCTAACAGCCATTATATACATATATTTTTATTTTTACATTAATACACACAAACATTATCTCTCATTTCAAACCAATGCTCAGAAAGCAGGTTTGTTAACTACATTCTATGCATTTATACGTTGCACTTACATACACTTAGGCTTTAGAACAAAAATTGCATACCTAATTATGTAGATAGGTACTAGAAATAGATAAATGTTTTAGGACATCGTTTTTCAGTTTGTTAAAAATCACTCGGATCTATGAAAAAACGTAATATTCATGGTTCGATTATAACCTCAAAATCTGATACTTTTTTTGAAATATATCTATTATGCAGCTAGTCCGCTATAAAAATAAGATCAAATAGGAATTTACTAATGATCAACAATAAAATACATAATTTTCCGATGCTCTTGGTTCCAGGGCGAACAATGTATGAGCGCAGAGAATGTCCAGAATAAGTAATATTAGCAAATAGTGAAGAAAAATCTTTTTTTTTCTTTTAAATTCAAAATGCGTGGTAATGCATTACTTTAACTGATTTTATTGCGCATTCGTAAGGGTTGATCGGTAGGCAAAAATGTTGTTGCTCATAAATTACACTCAGTTTGGGATAACTTCAAATAAAAGTAGAAGCCTCATTTACTTGTATTTTCAAAAACTGCAATAACGGTATATTATTATTTATATATTTGAAATTAAGTTTCAAATTTGGCTACTATTTGAAAATAACCCCGTATATTTGAACTTAAGTTTAAAATCTGGCAGTCTTAGAAAAATTACTCTGTATAATAGATAATTAAATGTGTGTCCTATATTATATTAAATTAAAAAAAAAATTCGCAGCACCTCCTGTCATACTCACCACATCATCAGTGAAAAATATCCAAGCTGTCGTTGGAGATCGCGTTATAAGGATACCTTGTTATGCTACTGGGAATCCTAAACCAGAAATAAGATGGATGAGGAATGGACGCCTTTTAAGTATAGGTATAATTATATTTTGTAACTAAAAAATATTCCAATCAGTTTTAATAGGGGCTCATGGTCAAACTACCTGACATAGTAACAGTTCTGGGTAGAAACTTCGGATGAAGCCAATTTTTGTGCAAATGACTTTAGGTTTTGTTGTGATATTTCCTCTGTATCCTACCACCGACCTTTATATAATATGTGTTACACTCAAACAGGTTAAAACATGAAAGAAAGATTGGATGAGTGAATCTCTATTTTCAACCGACTTCAAAACAGGAGGTTCTTAATTCGACTATGTTTTTTTTTATGTGTATGACTGTATTTTTTTATGTGTAATCGATTTTCATGATTCATTTTTTATTTGAAAGCTGGCGCTTCTCATGTGGTCCCGTATAAATTTGATCTAGATCTTTGAGTTATCTTTAATAATGCGTATTGAATAGACTTCGTCTACATTGACGATGTTCTTATTTTATTTATATTGAAGTCGTACAAAATTTCTAATTTTATGACTTGTTGCTTATACCTGTAGTAAGCGATTTTATTTCAAAAACAGGTAGATAGCAAAGTGTAAAATACTCGTACATTACGATGTTTTTAAAATGTGTTTAAAAGTGCGATGTAATATATCGGTGTAAGAGTATAGCAAGAAGAAATTGCTGGGCTGTTTTCATTATTATTTATTGGGCTTCCAATGGAAAGATATCGTCTGTATAAAAGTAACCTAGATGTAAATTCATGACAATTAATTGATATGCATATCAAAACAGCACAAATATCCATAACCATTCATTACCTACGAAAAATGCTAATACTACTGCCAACTTTTCACTAAATTACTATCCACTTTTATTGGAGAAGTCAGATTTACAGTGAATGAATGATGAAATGATTTCTTATATTTACGCGAAGACTACGCATTAAATGAAACTAATTTTAACTAAATTCTTGTTAACTTTGAACTTTCTTGTCTAGCTGTAATGCACCCGAAACGTCGGGTGCTGTAAAGTACTTTAATTAAAAAGTTAAGTTAAACGCGATAAAATCCGTAAAAATTTGTTTCATTTAATCTGAATGAATTAATAAAATATGTGAAACATTTTATCTTTGTGGCTGTTTTACTAACTATAGTAGGTAATTTACAACTCACAAAAGCCGTATTCCCAAAAATTACGTTAGAATAGTAAAGAAAAAAATATCGATATTTGGGCTTGTCAGGATAGGGAGGGATCCCCCACTTGAGCTATGAGTTCCACCCGAATTTGAACTTAAGACCAGCAACGTTGTAGCCCGGTATTATAAGAGCAACACAGAAATTACATATATGATTCATCATTGTCTTCAATCTAGAAGTAGTCCTTTGTTGGAAAATAACACATTTATCGAGTTGGAACGAATTCTCGTAGTCAGCAATCGTCAAATTTAAGATACTATTGTCCACCGCCAGCCCATTTTTAAAGTCTCATCTAAACTGATAATCTGGCAATTTTTTAGGTGCTAATTGAGTGATCTGACTAGATGAAATCAATTATAAACATATGACTGCGAGATATTAATATCTACTGCTATCACTTTTGCAATAACGTTAAAAGTGGCCGGTTAGGTAATTCAATCTAGTTTGGGCTCTTGTCTCCCACAAATCGACAGCCTCATGGCGCAGCTGTATTGTTGCGGCGATACAGGAGATGATCGGGGTATGGGGGGTAACGTTTAAAATGAGAGTAAGAACTAATTAATTACGTATGGTCTTTACCTCTAAAATTATAGATTTATTTTAGATGAAATATCTTAATGTAGTTTATTTTCTATATTCTTTTTATTTTTATCAATCAAAGTAATCACCCGTGCAATAGATGTATCTTTGCCAACGCAGTGGCAGTTTATTGATGCCCTTCTTGAAGAAAACTTTTGTACTTTTGTACTCTCAGGTATTGAATTTTTTCCCACCAAAAAGTTATCCAAATTTTGAAAACAGTAGAATTCTCTAGGCGCAAGATCTTGTGAGTACGGTGGATGACGGAGAGCTTCCAAGCTATTGTAACTTGGAGATCATCTTTTGTGCAGTATGAGGTCGCGCGTTATCATGTATAAGCGATTGACCAAAGCTGGTTGGAAACGTGCGAGCCTCTCCATCATTGTGTTCAGTTCTTCACAGTACACATCTGAAGTAATGCTTATCCCGTTTGATAAGAAGCTCTAATGAATCACACCGGCGCTAGACCACCAAAAAGAAACCATCACTTTTCTAGGGGAACGTGAAAGTTTTCGTTCGTAGGACATTGTTTAGGTGCTGAACCAGAATCTAACCAACTTACTGAGTGCTTGCGATAGTCAAACGGAATCTATTTTTCGTCGCAGGTAACAATGCGGTTCAAAATTCCTTCGTTCGTATGCCTGTTGTGCAGTGCAAAGTACTTCGGGCTGGCGATCATTGAGTTCGTGGGGCACTCATTTGTCAAGCTTTTTAACTTGTGAATTTGACGGAAATGGACCAATATTGTTTTGATGCTTACGTTGAAAGCTGCTGCTAATTCAGCTGTATATTAAGTATCATCAGCTACTACAATTGCCTTTAATTCGTCATTATTGACCAAAATTTTGGACGACTATGGGATATATTTTTCGTGTCCAATTTCCAGAATAGCAGCGGGCAAACCAATAACAGGTGGTGCCTTTGTTTGTAGTATTTGCTCCGTAAATGTCGTTGATTTTGTGTGCCACTACGGTAGCCGCGTTGTTGCCACTACGGTACTCATATTCCGAATAACGAAAAATATTTAAATGCTATGAAAAAATAACGCTAATCAATGAAAAATATCAGATTTGGAAAAAAAAATCTATGATTTTAAAATAAAATTAGTTAGTAATTAGTATTTTTAGCCAAACAACAAATTTTGATTTGAACAACAAACAAACAATATTTTGATTTGAAATGGCCAGTACTGTAGAACGGCAATTTCATAGGTAAAGACCTATTATATTACTAGCTGATACCCGCGACTTCGTCCGCGTTGCTTGATATGTCAAGAAAAAAACACATCACTGAACACGTAGTGCTTATAAAAATCGTTGTTTCTTAAAACTTTAATAACTTTATGTTGAATGAAGATATCGCAATATTTTTTTAAAGAAGCCTAATTGAAATCTATTCCGTAGTATTTCCGTAATGTGTGCACATCTGCAAACCTCCATATTTTATTTATATAGATAAGAACATAATTTGAGAGTAAAATAATATTATTAAAAGGAGAAATCAATAAAGATTTTTAATTTATCGTTTTCAGCTTAATTTATGGTTTAGGAAAATAGACGACGGCGGTGCGATTGGTGCTTGGGTCTGAAATTTAAGTCCTACTTTAAATGTGCACGAAGTGTTTACATGGCGCTTGTTTTAGGAAATTTAGTATAAATTTCATTGTTATCATTAATTTTTGTTCTTAATTTTTGCAACTATAAATCATAGTTGAAAAAAAATTGTTTCGTGATAAACATTTTCGGTGCGGACACACAAAAGGGCTAACTTACACCGATGTGTGTGTATACCGCGACAAGCGGTGTCAATTAAGTGTTAAATTTATATATATTTTTCTATGCATCAATAATTAACAAATCAAATAGTTTAGTCGATTCTTTCAACACCTTAGAAACGAGATGTGGAGACGGATTAATTTTTGCCGCCTTCAAATATATTATAAGAGTAGCGTATAATGATTACGTAAATATTTAAGAAGAGTTTCTTCTTAAATATTTACGTAACAATTGCAAGTACAACAAAGGAGTTGTGTTAGCGTGTTCATCATTCAAGTTTCTACAATATTATAATATGTTTTTTCTTTTTTCTTTATTCAGAACCTGAATGGTACTCAGTTGAAACTGATGGGACTCTAATAGTAAAAAATGTTAACAAAGCTTCTGCTGGATCATACACCTGTAGCGCGGAAAATAATATAAGCATAGCTAATAAAAATGTTATTGTCCAGGTCGACAGTAAGTAACCTTTCTTGTAAGCAGTAAGTCTCATTATGACCGAACAAAAAAAATATTTTTTTGAAAATACAGGGGTGCAATGCAGTAAGTACAAGTTTCTTACAATTAATATTTATATAAAATGACTGCTCCCTCAAAACATTTAACATTATCAAAGAGATTTAAATATATAGGTATACTAACTTAAATGTCTTGGAACATTATACATTAATCAGCAGGTCACTCCCGAATTAACAATTTTTAATCAATCGAATTCAATGCAATTCGTATCCTAAAACCTAGCGAATTATTGAATAGAGACTCGACATGGAATTAAATTAAATATTTTGTAAGGATCAAATAATTCATATTTTTCATTTGATCGAATACTGTGTATCTAGTAGCGTTGGGATTTGTTAAATTGATTTAATATTTTTAATTAAATTTTTTGCGTCCTTCAAGCTGGAATTCTCCCCAAAGATATCTCAAATTTATTAAGTCAAGATTTAGTGAGAAATTGGTGAAAATTATCAATATTTACTTAAGAAAAAAATAGTGACTTAATATTTTAGGATATAGCTTTAATAAAATAAGGCGTTACTTTGCGGAAATCCATTATATTAAAGCTTTTAAAAAATTTAATTCGCCAAAATCCGCTTTATAAAATAAAATGATGTGCTTTACCTAGTATGAAGAGCACCTCCCGCCCTCCCTCAATTGCGTGCACTATCCCCGTCACCACTAATCCCAGCACCACTACTCCCAATACCACGACACGTGTCGTATTGTCGTCAGTGGTGTGTCCTTCCTATTGTATTGGTGTTGGGAATAGTGGTGCCGGGATTAGTGGTGGCGGGGATAGTGCACGCAATTGAGGGAGGGCAGGAGGTGCTCTTCATACTAGGTAAGACACATCATTTTATTTTATAGAGTGGATTTTTGCGAAGTAAATTTTTTAAAAGCTTTAAGATATAGCTTCTTTTGGAAATGATTCTAGCCTAAATTCAAGCTAGCAGTCTCCTCTTGAAAACACCATTATTGTTCTCTTTTGTAATCTGATTTCTTTTTTAAGATTTAGTGACTAATTGGTGACTATCATTTACCGAGATTGAAACATATTGCTCCTACGGAATCGGAGATATTCATGTGTCTTCGGGAGGATTCTGACTTGAAGATTATAGATTACAGAACAACTCCAGAACACCTATGAACAATATGTGGCAAGATTTAGTGACTAATTGGTGACTGATAATTAAAAAAAAAAGACAGTCCTATATTAATCTGAATTTAGGGAAAACCGTACTTAAATTTCTGCATACATTTCAATATCGGTACAGTATAAAATTTAAAAAATTATAACACATCTTTTGTGATTTCTTTTTTCGTTGCATATAAGTAAAACAAATTTTTGGAAATATCCGATAATTCAAAAACCTTTAATAGACTCAGGTTGCTAACTATTCAATTATATTTATAAAAATACTTAGTTACCTTTTAGTAGTAATAAAAACTAAATCACAGAACAATCAATATATTATATAGTAACTAAGGAACTAAATACAGATCATCATGATATTATATTTATTTACAACTAGCCAATACACATTGCGTTGCAGCCGCAGAAGAAATAATTGTGTTAATATCGTTTTCAATTTGGAAGAGTTACATTGTCTATTTAGAAATGATAATTCATTCATTGAAGTCGAATGATACAGACCTTTCAAATAAATTTGTCGGTACGAACATATATTTTTATATATTAGATTATACACTACACGACACGGTCACTGCCGCGTCATCGTGTCATCCGTGATAACATAAATTAGCCACTTTTATTGTTTTACTAGCTGGCCAGGCAGACGTTTTTCTGCCCTTTCCACGACTCTTCCTATAAAAAATCCTTAAATTCGCAATTCAAAAAATATTGAAGGTCACTTATCGGGATAAAAGTATCCTATCTCTCAAGTTGGACCATACTGCACACAGTGTGCAAATTTCATTGAAATCAGTTCTGTAGTTTAGGAGTTCATCGCGGACAAACAACATGACACGTAATTTTTATATATAAAGATTAATCGTTTGCTTATAGTGCTATTGAGTAAAAGAAATTATTAAAAAAAGTATTACTTCTTTTATACATAAGTTTAAAAGTGATATATAAATTTTACAGATTTTCCTAAACACAATGGTCCTATTAAGAACATATATATAGAGGAAAATAAGCCAGCAGAGATCGAATGCAACATCCCTTATGAGCGTACGGATTTAGTACGGTGGTACAAGGTGTAATATATTATAATAATTATTTATTTCTTAACTTGTCTTAATAATTTTTCATACGTAGTTTGATTTTTTATTACTTTTTCGATTTTTTTTAATTAAAGTGATTTTTTTATAGAATAAAGGCGACAAACGAGCACAAAGTCCACCTGATGGTAAGTGGATGCTGTGGCCCATAACAGTCAACGTTTATTCTCGATTAAGAATCAAAATGCAGATGCGTTATCATCCCAGAGGTCTTAGAGCCTCGATTCCAGTAAAAAGCGATCTCTGGTTCTCCAAACTCACCGTATGAAACACAGCAGTATTTAGCTGCTATTTTACGCTGTTATTCTGCCTACCCAGTTCGAGTCGACCCATTCGTGCTGCAATCGTAATATAGCTGCAGCGTGGCTTTACTACGTTAATAATAATATAATGAAAATAAACAATAAAAAGCTAAAAAGGCGAGAAAACCAAGTTGGACCTCACTGATACTGGCAAATTTTTACTTGTGATTAAAGTAGCTTATCAGTTGCTCGGTGGCGAATAAAAGCAGCGTGATGGATGGAGGAACCTGCATGTTTAAAAATAAAGATATTCCGAGGGTCATCATACCCTCGGAATATCCGCCTTTTTATTTTGGCAATTTATGCATGCATCAGGAAAGCAGATTGACAGCCGGGGATTTTCTCAGGCTGACGGTGATGATAATGAACTAAAAAGATGGACGAAATACATTTCTTTAAATTATGTTAAGGAATTTCGATTAATCAAATATATTATTTTTGTAGAGAAACAGAATGATTGCAGAAGGAAAGCTAATATTCTCAAAAGTAAAGACCAGTAATCGTGGTCGCTACAAGTGCCGCGTAAGCAATTTCGTTCAATCCAAAACAGGCACTTGTAATGTTAAAGTTGGACATAAGCCAAGATTTACGTTCGAAGCAATTTCAAAATTATTCTTTGATGATACAAATCGTCACTTGTATTGCACTTATTCTGCAGTACCAAAAGCCAAGGTAGGCATTAAAATAATAATATTTTAATTTTTATATTAATTAGGTAATATGATTTTGATGTTAAGGTGTTCATAATCGTTGTTTTGAAATAAATGTTAAGATATTTTCAATTTTTTTAACAATTCAATGAAGTATAGTTATATTTGTTGTGTTTATGATAACGTGTGTTAAGAATATCTATATAATTTTATTGTATATTCTGAAATATGGGTATAGAGGTATTGAATGGCCCGATGGTATTATAGACTGCTTTAAAAACGAACATTTATCTCCAAATTGGTTTGACCAATCTAGATACCGTTTCTGTTAAGGGCTTGTGATTAATTGGCGATGGTTCTTAGATAGGTATTATGATTTGAAATCTCCAGAGGGCGCTGCAATAAACATGTTTATGGAAACTAATACGTCCCCATTTATATCCAAAACGATTTGGCTGATTTAGATACGGTTTACTGTTAAGGGTTTGTGATTTATCGGCAATGGTTCTTAGATAGGTTTTTTGGTATTAGCTCGCCATAAGGGACTGCAATAAACACATTTATGCTGGTAAATGTTCCCATTTATCTCCAAAACGGTGTGATCGATTTAGAATTTGTGATCCACGCACCGTGCTTCTCAATCGCTCTAACTCGTTCAGCGTTATGCTATTGTGTGGATTGAATAGTTTAGTAGTGGAATAGTTTTCCTCTTTTTTTTCTTTGATCAGTTACTAATACGCCCTCTAAACATTGTACTCCACTAAGAGCACATACGATTGCCCTTTGGTGAATGTTTTGGGTCCAAGATATATGACTGCCTTATCGACTGTACTGCCTTGCAATCTATGCACTGTGAGGGCCCATCCCGTGTAGTGGCGGGTAAGAATACTCACTACCCCATATCTTCCCGTGGGTGTCGTAAAAGGCAACAGAGGAGACCTTAAGCATAAGATGGGTAGCAGCATCTTTCTGATAACAGCAAAACAACAATAAAAACTGCGGTTGCCAACCCGCTCGCCAAGCGTGGCAACTATGGCAATATACCCCCCAAATGAATAAAGTTGCTAAGAGACAGCCCCAGTCCCCGGCGGCCCCGCTATTCCTGGCTACGGTGGCGACCATGGTAACGGCGGGGTAGGGGGTGCTAAGAATCTCCGGTGGAGGTTCGGTTGCCACCTACGACGAGTCGACCTGGCAACTTATAACGCACGCACCCTGAGGACTGACGAGAAGATCCTGGAGCTGGAAGAAGAGATAACCAAGTTGCGCTGGAATGTCATAGGATTATCCGAAGTCCGAAGAAAGGGGAGGACACGGTAATCCTCAAATCCGGCAATTTGTTCTATCACCGGAAGGGCGACCATCTGTCCCAAGGAGGTGTCGGATTTATCGTCCACAAGTCTCTCGTTAACAACGTTGTAAAGATTGGGAGTGTGTCGATGAAGGTTGCGTACCTTATACTCAGAATCACCAAACGTTATTCGCTGAATGTTATACATGTTTACGCACCAACCTCGGTACACTCCGATGAGGAGGTGGAGGAAATGTATGGGGATATCTCTAGAGCCATGCATTCCTCCAAAACCCACTATACGGTGTTAATGGGAGACCTCAATGCAAAACTAGGCACAAGAGAGAATGGTGAGCTGAAAGTAGGGGAATTCGGAATAGGGCAACGGAACCCAAGGGGCCAGCAGCTGGTCGACTTCATGGAGAAAGAGGGACTCTTTATGATGAACTCTTTCTTCCAGAAGCGGCCCCACAGGAAGTGGACCTGGTCGAGCCCCGACGGTTCGACAAAAATGAGATTGACTTCATTATGATGACCAGACGAAAACTGTTCAGTGATGTCTCGGTGATCGCGACGGTGAAAACCGGCAGCAATCACCGAATGGTGAGAGGCACACTGAACCTAAACGTTAAGTTGGAGAGGTCACGTCTAATGAAGTCAACGCTCCGTCCCCCTCGTGCTCTAATCCAAAGTCCCGAAACCTTTCAGCTCGAGCTACAAAACCGTTTCCAGTACCTAGAAGATTGTAATGCAGCAGACTATATGAATGACAAGCTCCTGCAAACTGTCCATGCGGTCGGAGCTAAGTTTTGCAAGACCCGCCGCAGAAGAACACAAAAACTCTCCGATCACACTCTTAATCTCATGGCTGTTAGACGGAACATGAAGCTGCAGTCTTCAGTAGATTTGACAGCATACAGGCAACTCAACAGACAGATCTCCAAATGCATGCGGCGGGACTTACGCAACTTTAATACTGCTCGTATTAAAGAAGCGATCAAGCGGAACCAAGGCTCCAAAGTCTTTGCTAGAGATCTGTCTGCCAGAAAGAGCGAACTGTCGAAGCTGAAAACCGAGTGTGGCAGCGTCGTTTCCAGGACACCTGAGATTTTGAGCTACTGTTCACATCATCTTTGGAGCCCCACGTAAGTGTGAGTAACGATCCAAGAGCGAGTCTTATCCGACACAATTCCGAAGATATCCCGGACGTCAGTCTGAGCGAGATTAGAATGGCTCTCCAGCACCTTAAAAATGGCAAGGCCCCAGGCGAGGATGGAATTACAGCGGAGCTTCTGAAAGCGGGTGGAAAACCGGTACTTGAAGTCCTTCAGAAGCTCTTTAATTCCGTCCTCCATGTTGGCACAACACCGGAGGTCACACCTTCAAGAAAGGTGACAACGCTATCTACAGACCGATTTCCCTTCTGAGCCGCGTCTACGTGCTGTTTTCGGGAGTCATTACGAATCGCCTCGCGCGCATACTTGACGACTTCCAGCCTCCCGAACAAGCCGGTTTCTGAAAAGGCTTTAGCACCATAGACCACATACATACCCTTCGGCAAATTGTACGAGGAGTACAATTTGCCACTATGTCTGGCGTATGTGAACTATGAGTAAGCCTTTGATTCCGTCGAAATTTGGGCGGTGCTGCAGTCCCTTCAGCGGTGCCAAGTTGACTGTCGGTATATCGAAGTGCTGAAGTGTTTGTACAGTAGGGCTACGATGGCTATCCGAGTACAGAACCAGAGTGCGAAACCTATCCAATTGCAGAGAGGTGTAAGACAGGGTGATCTTATATCCCCGAAACTCTTCACCGCTGTACTGGAAAACGTTTTCAAGCTTCTGGACTGGAAAAGATACGGTATTAACATCAATGGCGAGTACATCACTCACCTTCGATTTGCTGACGATATAGTTCTTATGGCAGAATCGCTGGAGGATCACGATCGCAGGAGAATCGCTCGCACTATGCTGAATGACCTCAATAGTGTCTCCCAAAAGATAGGTCATAAGATGAACATGGACAAAACAAAGATCATGTTTTATGTCCATGTCACACCTATGCCGGTAGTTGTTGTGAGCACTAAGCTCGAAGTTGTTGACGAGTATGTTTACATGGGACAAATAGTCCGGCCGGCCATATAGCTCAAAGAACCGACAACCGATGGGGAAGAAAGGTTCTCGAGTGGCAGCCTCGTACCGGCAGGCGAAGTGTAGGGCGTCCCTCCAATAGATAGATTGCAACTGCCAAAAAAGTCTTATCGTTCCACGGGTTGACTGCCAGAGAATGCCGATAGGCATTGAGGTCCACCCTTTGTTACCCTATTTGTTTAAGGTGTTAACTATTAAGATTAAACATTTAAAAAATGCAAAATGTTAATTAATGGACAACTTAATATGAAATACAACGCTCTTTAACAGATAACGTGGTGGTTTAATAAAAAGAAACTCGCTGAGAATGATATGACGTATTGTTTTGACAATAAAGTTAGCAGCATAGGAGAATATAAATGTGTTGTTGAAAACGTGTTCGGGACAATTGAAAAGAAGTTCAGTGTTCAAGCAAATGGTTAGTTATTACTTAAATATAACTTCAACCTTTGACTACGTAATCGTACATAATACACCTTGCCACCTAAATTACCCAGCCTGCAATGTCTTTTAAAATAATATTTTATATGTTGCAGATTGCTTGTTAGATATTGCAAAAGATTTTGACACATATCATCCACTTGTGCTAGCCAATGACTTTAGACTATCTGATTTTTATATTAAAGATGGACTCTTAGCAATACCAATAGGTAAAAGTGCGCAATTTATGTGCTCTGGAGATTTTAACAAATTTCCAGGCACTGAAATTAAAGCTACATGCTTAGAAGGTAAACGTTTTAAAATAAATGAAGATATTGCAGAATTTTCAAAAATAAAATGTGTTGAAAGAATGCAACCCGTAACCTTAAAAACTGGAAAAATATGTGGGTACAGTAACACAGAAATTATTAAAATTGGAATAAACATTAAAGGAGAGTTTTCGGAATTCTATCAGATTTGTTTTCATAAATTACTGAAAGTAACATTATATGCACAACATCGGTTAATGGTGTACGCAGCTGGAGTAAAATCGGTGCCGACTGAAAGATGGTTGCATAGCGATATAATTAGTTACGATATAAATGAGATGTACGACTGTGAACAGCAAAAGAATGTCATATCTACACTTTTGAACAGGCCATTTCACAGCGAAGACATTTGCTGTTTTTCTGCGAGGCAGTTAGTAAACGAGAAGGACGTAACACCTGGCTTACCTCAAATATCTACTCACAGTTACCTGAACGTCTTCCCACTTTGGAATACATGCAATATGAAAGTAAGAATACTTTTCAATTTATATTTACAGTCTATCATTTCGGTAGGTTCACTGGTACACCATTTTATTTCCATACGTTTGTAAGGAAAAAGAATAAAGCATCTCTTAGCAGATGCCGAGAAATCATAAGCTCATCACCTTTGGCCATAGGCATTCAAAACGTAACGCGCATACACACACGAGCGTAATGGCTCAGTGGAGGAAACAAACGACATCCTCCGATTCGCTAGTTCATACGGAGATACGTAACACCCAATTACCGCGGTGAATTTATATATTTCACATAATAAACAGATAGCCATTTTAGGGTGTATAATAATTGTTAATAATATTAATAAATTATGTTCATGATACAGGTAAGTCAGGATCGTTGCTTAATAGTATTCCTTGAGGAAGGCCTATGTTTTACAGTTAACTTGTGTAGGGGTATAATGATGAAATTTTGCAATTGGATTACCAGCTTTCTTGCATTTCGGAGCATCAAGGACGTTGTAGATGGTGCATTCTCCGATTACAAGCCTTATAACGCTGGTGTTCCACAAGGCTGCCTACTATCACCAACGCTGTTTCTTCTGCATATCAATGATATGTTGCAAACATTAATTGCTATGCAGATGACAGCACTGCTCTATACACTGGACGTGCCAATATTTCTCTGGGAAACCTCGCCGAGTACCGGTTCTAATTTGTGTCTGAAGTTGAGTCTTAGCTGAACAAAGTCTCGAATTGGGGGCAACTAAATCTAGGCCATTTTAATCCCAAGAATACACAAGTTTGCGCGTTTACCGCTAAACAGAACCTCTTTGTCGTATCTCCTCAATTTCAAGGCACACCCCTTGTTGCCTAAACTAGTATCGGAATCCTCGGCGTCGACATATCAAATGACGAGCAGTATCGTTGTCACTTGGAAGAGAAGGCCAAATTGGCTTCTAAAAAGCTTGGCGTGTTCATCAGAGCAGGACAGTATTTCATGCCAGCACACCACCTGCAAATTTAAAAGGCGTAGGTTTGGCCTCACATGGAATACTCTTCTCATCTCTGGATCGGGGCACCCCAGTGCCAGCTCCTTCCATTTGACCGCATCCAGCGCAGAGCGGTTCGAATCGTCGACGACCGAGTTCTTTCTGATCGGCTCGATACACAGGCACTGCGGAGGGATGTTACATCCCTTTGCATTTTCTAATGAATTTACCACGGGGAGTGTTTTGAGGTATTGTTAGGATTAATTCCAGCCGCCAAATTTCACGAACGCACATCGCGTCAAAATTCACTCTACCATCCTCACCATCTGGATGCTTGGCGGTCCACGACTGTGCGTTTTACTAGGAGTTTTCTTCGTCGTACAATTTCTTTGTGGAATCGTTAATCACCGGCGATTTCGCCGGACTGATATAACTTAGGCGCCTTCAAGAAAAGAGCTAACTCCTTTCTAAAAGGCCGGCAACGCACCTGCGATTCCCCTGGTGTTGCAAGTGTTCATGGGCGGCGGTATTCACTTACCATCATGTGAGCCGTATGCACGGTTGCCTCCTCACCTATAAAAAAATATAGCGAAGAATCTTTGAATGTATTTAAATGAAACTAACTTTACGGATTTTATCGCGTATATTAACTTATTTTACATTCCCGACGTTTCAAGCACTTTACAGCACCCATGGTCACGGGGGGGACTGAGGTGTATGACGTCCCAATGTCATAGTTAACCACGGCTACCTCCAGATTAAAAATTATTAATTTTTGTTCCGATCTACGCAGTATGAACTTACAGTATCATGAAGTCTTGCAGTTGTATGCTTGGGTTGGGATTTAATTTTATTAATTATGGGATCCCAAGCAGATGGTAGCACCCAGCCATCTTCTCTATTGAAATTAGGATGTTTTTTGATTTCAATAGCCTCGCGAATCATCCTTGGAAGGAATCGGTGTTCTTTAGCGAGGATTTGTGGTCTATCAAATCTAATGTAGTGACGGGGGCGATCCTGTACATGTTCACAGACTGCAGACTACCCGGAGCGTCTATTCTTCACATCATCACATGTCATCACATAATTAATAAAATTAAATCCCAACCCAAGCATACAACTGCAAGACTTCATGATACTGTAAGTTCATACTGCGTAGATCGGAACAAAAATTAATAATTTTTAATCTGGAGGTAGCCGTGGTTAACTATGACATTGGGACGTCATACACCTCAGTCCCCCCCGTGACCATGGGTGCTGTAAAGTGCTTGAAACGTCGAGAATGTAAAATAAGTTAATATACGCGATAAAATCCGTAAAGTTAGTTTCATTTAAATGTGTAGTGTTCGCGTAAATATAAGAAATCACTTTGAATGTATTGTTAATTAACATCTGCTGCATCGAAAATTTCCTACTTGAAAATTACGCTTATTCCGCACGTACTTCCCCACAGTAGTACGAGTAATATTACTCTTTGTCTACAACTGTTACTAAACAAATTCAAGTCTTTTTAATACTTACGTGGCGCGTTTTGTATTATCGAACACTTAATTTACTTCACCACTTTACTACTTAAACAGCACTAACATCTCTGGACTAGCTTCTATGTTCTGATATGTTAGTGCTGTTAAGCTTTTGGCTTTTACAGCTTCATCTGACTTAAAGTTGGTTCACTCGGTATGCGAAATCATCCAAAGCATTTAGGTTATGATAATAAGACAATGGTTGTGCAATAAAACTCAATACGTAGGTCACTCAATAAGTTTTGAGATGCTCGAAATTTAAAAATGGAACGTACCCGTGTTATATTTTTCTAAGAATTTTATTTAAAAATAGAACTCCATAAGCCAATTGCTCAATATTAAAAAAAAAACAAAGTTCTATTAATTTTACTGCAACTCTTCCCGCGCTTTACATTTAAAACGATGGCTCTTAACCGTGAACATTTGCGCGCTATGATATATTATGATTTTAAATTTGTTTAAACCGAACAATTAAGTTTAAAACGGTTACGATCAGCATTACTGGACTCAGCTCCATCACGCGCAATAATTTTTAGGTGGTTTGCTGAATTCAAAAGGGGTAAAATTAATCTTAAAGTTGACCTAAGAACCGGGGCCCCACAAACAGCAGTAACGGCAGATAATGTATGGACTACTGAAATGTTGGTACGAGACGACCCACGAATCACATATACGGACATCGAAAAGATTGTAGCAATTAGTTCGGGGAGCATTCATACCATCCTACATCAACAATTTGTAGTGAGGAAGCTTTGTTGTCGATGGATCCCTTGTTTGCTCTCCGCACGCAAAAAACAGACTCGTGTGGATTGGTGCCATGAAACACGGCTAAGTTCTGAAAACGGGGCATATAGGCGTGTTTCAGAAATTGTTACTGGTGACGAGACATGGATCTATCAATATGATCCGGAAAATAAAGGGCAATCATCGGTATAGGTCTACTCAGATAGACAGTTACCGACAAAACTGCAAAGACCTCGCAACGTCGGCAAAAGATTGGTGGCTAGTTGTTTTCTCGGAGCGGACATTTGTCGACGTCAATCTGGAAAATTGTAGATCAGTCAACACTGAATGGTATACTGCAGTTGCATTACCCAAAGTTTTCAAGCTGTGCGGGAGAGAAGACCAAAAACCGGGCTTCGGGGAATCATGCTGCTTCACGATAACGCCTCTTCACATACCTCCCTTAGAACAAAAGCATTTAATGAGGAATCTGGTGTTGCAACTCTAAGTCACCCACCCTACAGCCCTGAATTAGCTCCTTGTGATTTCTTTTTGTTCCCAAGAGTCAAAGAAAAAATAAAAGGCAAGTTTTTTTCAAGCGTCGAAGAAGCCGTGGCTGCCTACGAAGAAGTGATTTCCGACCTGTCAGATCAAGACTGGCAAAAGTGTTTTTAGAGTTGGTTTAGGTGAATGGAACTTTGTATAAAGCATGATGGAGAATATTTTGAAAAGATGTAAAATAAACATAAATAGTATCTAAAATACTTTTTGTATATCTCAAAACTTATTGAGTAACCAAGGTACTACCACAAGTGATATCCCGCTATCTAAACGCTCGCCGTAAATTACAAAGTACGCAGGCAATTTACAATCAATCATATTCTATACATGGTAGAGCCATGCTGCAGCTATATTAGTAGTATAGTTGTAGCACGAATGGGTCGGCTCGGCCGGGGAAGGACCACGCCCTTACAGAGTACCAGCGTAAAATTGTAGCTTAACGCTGCTGTGATTCGTATGATGAGTGTAGAGAACCGGAGACCCATTTTACTGGAAAATTGGCATTCCATCTTAGTCCTCACAGGTGACGACGCATCTGCATTTTTGTTCTTTATTGAGGATAAATGTAGATGCCTATAGGTCACAGCAACCACTTACCATCAGGTGGACTGTGTGCTCGTTTGTCACCTATCCTATAACAAAAAACCCGGGTTCGATTCCCGCCGGCACCAATTAAATGATTAATTGCAATTTTAAGTGCTGATTTACCACGTGCTCAACGGTGAAGGAAAATATTGTGAAGAAAATTGCCTGTCTGAGGAATAAGAAAAATATATTTCAAAGACATGTGAAGTTCGCCAACACGCATTGGGGCATCGCAGTGGACATTTTATTGCCCTAAAGCCCTCTCAGAAATGAGAGGAGCCTTGTGCCCAGGAGTGAAACCTACGAGTATATAGGCTGTTACTTTACTACCGCAATCTATCGATGCCGTGGGCAAGGGATTTAATTTTGCTTGTCCCATGATTATTTGGAGAGAACATGTATGTATAGTGATGAGAATAAAATATTATTAAAAATAACGGTAATTGCGACTTAAATTTGTACAGTACAACATTAAAGATGTTTTACATCAATAATAGATTGGATTTCCGCAAAGTAACGCCTGTTTCTATTAAGTACTATAGTAGTTTTACTAACAGTGTTTCAGTTTCACAGATCAATAATACTCTACACTTTTGTATGTATTTCAAATATACGTTAATCTCACCTTATTTGTAGTACTCAAACTATAGAAACTCTTTTCACTTATAGAATTGGAATAGCTTAGAGGAGTTGCTGAGAATGCAGACTCGAAAAATAAACCGTGCTTTAACTATTACGACAGGAATATCTTCACCACTAAGGCTCTTTGATGGAACTTCTAATGTTTCTATATATATAACTGATAAATCTGGAGAGAAGAGGCTGATACCGCAATTCGTATGGAAAGTAAGTATTTTAATTATGATTTCTTTATTAAATTAGGAAATTAATATCTGAAGGAGATAAGAAGTAAAGTTGTAACAACTTATTTGTACAAAATAATATTATAAATAAATAGGTAGAAAGCTGTATATTGATAGAGGACATTTTTGCCACCAGGGTGGCTCCATTTAGGAATAAAGTAAAATATTTGACAGATTTCGTAGCGAGGGGAGTTAATTTGTAGTGAAAACATACTTGAAGTTTAATGTTTCTTTCGGAAATAGTAGTTATTTAATATATAAATTTAATTACAAATACATTAATCAAACTACGAATATTCCTAAAAAATAAACAACAGGATTAAACCATGTGCAAAAAATTAAAGTGCAAAGCACACGGGGATTGTTTTGTGTATTTACACGCTTTAGAAATCAATTTATTTTTGTTTAAAATATAATTCCTCAATTATAATGAAATTGTGTTGCTATTCACCTCACTCCTAACTAGTGACATCTGGTGAGCGTAAAATGTTAGCCCTCATTAATCTAATTAATTTACTTGGTCGAATTTTAAAGAAAGACCCCAGAAAGTAATATTTACTCAACATGTTCATTTATTTTCAGGTTGTAAAAGACTACTACACAGCAGCTTCGCTTGCAATCATTCAGGTGAATGTGCCCGATCTAAAAGAAGATGATGTGAAATGGTATACAGTTTGTGATGATATATGTCACAAGATATTCTGGATGAAAGGCATCAATTGGAGCGATGTGAAAAATGGATTAACATACTGTTGCTCGACTTCGGAATTTGAAAAAGCTTTCGGCTACGTTGCTCAATTTAGCAGAGGCTGTAGCAAGATTTTACAGTATTTAGATCCCTAAAAACCAAAGTTAATTCTTAGGTCAAACATTGAACTAGTGTTTCCTTTACTGTTGGTTTTATTTTGTTTATTAAAAATTTGTGTATTGAGTTCATTAAATGTTTAGTAAGTAACTTTGCCACATTTTTATGTAATTTTTTCGTATTGATAAACCTTATATCCTATCTATTCCGATGATATCCCGAATACCAGTCTAAGCGAGATTATAACGTCTCTCCAGCTTCTTAAAAACGGCAAGTCCCCGGGTGAGAATGAAATTACAGCGGAGCTTCTAAAAGCGGGTGGAAAACCGGCACTTGAAGTCTTTCAGAAGCTCTTTAATTCCGTCCTCCATGGTGGCACTATACCGGAGACGTGGAGCAGATGTACGGTGGTCATGTTCTTCAAGGAAGGCAACAAAGCTCCCTTGAAGAACTACAGACCGATTTTCCTTAAGAGCCGCGTTTTCGAGAGTCATTATGAATCGTCTCGCACACAGATTCGATGACTTTCAGCCTCCCAGTTTCCGAAAAGACTTTAGAACCATAGATTATATACATACTGTACAGAAAGACAATTTGTCGAGGAGTATGTATGTAGACTGAGGAGTATAATCTCCCTCTACGTCTTGCGTATGCGAACTATGAGAAAGCCTTTGATTCCGTCAAAGTTTGGCCGGTGCTGCAGTCCCTTCATCAGTGTCAAATTGACTGTCGGTATATCGAAGTGCTGAAATGTTTGTACAGTAAGGCTACGATGGCTATAGGAGTACAGAATCAGAGCACGAAACCTATCCAACTGCTGAGAGTTGTAAGACAGGGTGACGTTATTTCCCCGAAACTCTTCACCGCTGCATTGGAAGACGTTTTCAAGCTACTGGACTGGAAAGGATACGGTATTAACATCAATGGTGAATACATTACTCATCTTCGATTTGCTGAGGATATAGTCCTTTGTATAGGCATTACTCTCAATCATCTCAATAGTACCTTCCAATATCTTAAGAAGAAAATGAACAAAAATAAGATCATGTGTAACGTTTATGTCACACCTATGCTAGTAGTTGTTGTGAGTACTAAGCTCGAAATTGTTGAAATCAGCATTCGGGAAATTACGGTACATCTTCTCGTCAGGTATACCTCAAAACTTGAAAACGAGACTGTACAACCAGTGTGTGTTGCGCGTGATAACTTATGGAACTGAGACGTAGTCCTTCACTGTTGGCCGGATGAGGAAGCTCAGCGTCGCTCAGTAAGCTACGGAGAGAGCTATGTTCGGTGTTTCTCTGCGTGTAAACTTAGAAATGAATATATCCGCAGTAGAACTAGAATGACTGACATAGCCCAACGGATTAGTTAGCTGAAGTGGGAACGGGCTGGCCATTTAGCGCGAAAAACCGACAACCGATGAGGAAAAAAGGTTCTCAAGTGGCAGCCTCGTTCCGGCAGGCGATGTGTAGGGCGTCCCCCCACTAGATGAAATAATGATCTGTGCCTGCATTCTCGACATAGATAGGGATGCCATCGCTAACTACCTATCACTAAATAATAACGAAAAAAATCGTTTGCCTTTTCAATGCTTACGATAAATGCAAGTCTCTTCACTTTACCCCGTCTTTACGCTAATGAAAAACGTATTCATAGTGCGGTGTTTTCTTAAAAAAATATTTGCTGCTAAAAATATCCTTGAATCACAGACAAAATTGGTAGACATAATTTTATAAAAATAATTGCTTTTCTTTGAAAATTGTACAGAAACAGTAGAAACCTTATCTTATAAAAATATTTTTCATAGTAACTTACAAGCAGCTTTTACCGTTTCTAAAAATTGAACTAACTTGTTAAATATCAAATAACATAACCTATGATGTTTATATGTCAAAATCATTCAAAATTGTCTATGTCTCAATCAATGTTAACTTCTTGCTTGTTGCTTGCAAAAAGAAAAAATTCGTAGTACATATTGTGTTCTTTATTGTAACACATGGTTTTATTGTATTTTCAATGGTAGGGGACAGTGACACAGGTGCAGGTTCCGATTCGAGCTGCGTTTAGTAAGTACAACCTATAACACCTATTTTCGAATCTATCGTTATGCTTAATTGAAAGACTATGTAATGTTTACATTTTGAATATACTTCTATGTATGTTTCAGAAGTAAACGCACGTGTAACATGAGGGTGTGCCACTTCTGTCGAAGGTAAGAGTTAGCTCGTCTATTTTTATTTATAAGAAAATTTACCGGCCTTCAGGGCAAAAATTTTAAAATGGGCTGAAAGGATGTAACCGACGAGCTCAACCAGCTTCCCCAGTTAAGAAGCCAGATCAGTGGATAACAGTTAAATTTCTATCAAAGAATTTTATTTTATTATTATTAGCCAGTACTTCGTGCAGTAGTAGTGTAACTTATATTTACTTGAATACATAATTATTTCGTAGGTCTGGAGAGATTAAAATTCGAGCCTCAGTAAAGCAACAAATTTAAGAAAAGAAACGATACAGACCGGCAACCGAGGCATTACCACTGAACAACAGGTGCAAGACATAACAATACAGTCACCAGCACCGCGAATAAGTAAGTTTGAGCTTTGTTATTCAGTTATTTCCTACTTACATTATATATTTCTGGACTCTGCTGTTTTATCCACTATTTCTGGGATAAAAAGTATCCTGTATTATTCCAGGATATAGTCTATCTATGTGCCAAATTTCATATTAATCTATTTTGTCGTTTTAGCGTGATTATGTAAGAACAAAAATCTTTACAAACCAGCATACCAACTGGAATTAGCAAGCATTTCTCAATCTATCTATATTTTTCATTACAGATCCTGGCAGCTGCAATTCATCTGCAAGCAGAAGCTGCCAAAATGTAGGTGGAGGCGTCTGTCTCTTTTATCTGAGCAATAAAATAAGAGATCCATTAATTTTATATTCAAATAAAAATAATAAATAAATTAAGATGTTTAATGTTTTCTTTCAGTTCACATTATTACTATAGATAATTAAATAAAAACAACATTTATTTATCTTGATAGAGATATGAGTCATCTTTGTATGCACTCTCCAAAAGCTCACCCTGTGCCAGTCACTCGTCCAGTGATAAAAACTAAAATTTTAAGATAATTCTAATATTACAAAGACAACCTAGTCTAATCTAATATGTCCTAAATAACATATCTGCAAGGCCATCATCATTGAAGCTATTAACAATTATTTCTGTGGATGTGGGAAATATGGTTCCATCAATCTAAATTTATTATGCATGTTGTGTAGTACTGCACATACATTGACTATTAGGACAGCAGTATATGGCTCATACATTAACTAGCATTGTTGAGACAGACACCTATAAATAGACTAGTACACCAAATAAACTTTGTATGATATTTCTCGCTTTCAAGGCATTTATTTTTCATTAGGGTCATCAACCATGGTACCAGAGGATATCATCCATCAGCACCTAAAAGTTTAAAAATAGAAATTGTATTAGATAACCTTTAACTCACCAAGTAAATGTACGATGATCCCCATTGTCGAAATATCGCCTCATGGTTGAGCATATAGGTGAATTTGTCTATATGTGAGCGTTTTGTCTAGCTTCTGGCCATTTAGTGTTGATGTTTAAAATTAATAAGTCTATGTCTATGCCATACACCTAAAATAATTAAAAATACACTTCCTTAGTTGTACCTATTTGTGCTAAATAAGTCAATAGATTTTTTAATAATAATGATGTTCTAGAGAGGAACTAGGTACTTGCATTAAAATTATAATGTAAGCCCTTAAGGTTAATAGGTATAATTTAAATTTAAATTTTACCTAAACTGCTATGTGAAATGTTTTCAATAACAGTTTTCTTTCTGTCAATAGTAAGGGGAAGATACTTTGTTCAAGTGTTTGAGCAAGTAAATATGTAAAAAAATAACTACTGAAGATAAACTTACAACTTGTACATTTAATGAATGACCCTCAGGCTTAACACTTACATTTGCCTCTTCATGCAACTTAGGAGCTATGTAGTCTATGGCTCCAACTGCATCTGGGAATTGCTGTTGGGCATATCTAGATTTTTCTTTAGCTGCTCGCCGCTCTTCAGTCAATCAATCAATCAATCAATATATTCTTTATTGTACACACAATTAGAACGAGATAAAATAAAATAAATATATACAAAGTAGCTGTTCATGGATGATAGGGAATTTTATATGTTTTCTCAATAATTTTTCATTAAAAGCTTCTATTATTCGGCTAACCGATTTTTGGCTCGTGGTGCAACCCCACAGCATGCCAACTGAACCCACTACCATAAAAAAGAAGTGCCATCAGTATGTACCTATTTAGAAGGAAATGAAAGTGAAAGCTAATACAAACGAAAAAGAGTGTTAGTTTTTTAAAGGTATACAGACAATTACATGATGATACTTTAAAGTTTGGTTAGATTAGGTTAGGTTAGGTGTAGGTAACCAGTCATCCAAGGTCACAAGCACCAACAACATCCACAGGGGGTCACGGCCTTAAATTCATTTTATTTGTGTTTTCCAGAATTAAATTTTTTCGAAGAGAGGTCGGAAGCATGCCATCCATTTTAAGTTGCTGTTGCCTGTCCTGGCACCATTTAGTTTTCGCTTTGAAATACCTCCTTGCCTCCGACATATCATTAAAAATTCGACAACTAGCTAGCCGCCCGGCTAAATTCCACAATTTAAATTTCAGCCTAGCCTCCCGGTGGGGGCCCGCAACATGCTTATTCCATCCAATAACTTAACTCTCTTCTTTCGACACTTAACTTTGTGTGTTTGGATAGCTGCCTAATATATTTATAATATGTAAATATAACTTATCTTGGACTGAGTGATGATTCTTGGTATTATAGAACTTATAACAACATGCACTTAGTTCCTGTCTTAACTTAGCATGAGGTCATGGTATTGGTCACTTAGCTGCTGCTATCTCTCTCCGCATATAACACGGTTTATAGGTCGTTCATATCCAAATTGGCGAATTTTGGTTTAAATTTATC